TCGATGTAATCCACCATGTGCCATCCCGACCTTAATAGGCGCTCGCCAACAACGCAGGGGTGGTCAGAAAAGTAAGGTGCACTCGCTACCCTAGGTGGCGTTGAGAACTGTGGAGAGCGCCTTGGTGCCTCCAGGGGAGCTAGACCCACCCAATGCAATCAACATAGGAATAGGATATCAATAGTCGTACCCAGGCCTAGTCTATATATGCAGTAAATGCTAGATTGTGTGTACCCTGGGTCTTCCTTGATAGGACCATGAATCTGGACTTAAAGCTTTCGTGACAGCAGGAATTTATATTCTTTGGGTCTTACGGTAAAGTCACGTAGATAGGTTTAAAGAAAAAAACAAAAACTACGACGTTTCGATCGCAACACAAGCAGTCGTCTTTTCATGACCCAAAGAATAGGACCATGAATGTTTCAATGGTCATGCTCCCTGTTTGAAATGCAGTGGATGGATACTGTGTAAACATATATGTCAAGTATTGTGCTGCATACTGTGTGTGTGCATATTATAAATGAATAATGTATGCAACACGATACTTTGTAAATATCACAGCCCATTGTCAATCCACTGCTGTACGAATAACTGCCCGTGCTGTAGTCTGGTCATGCGGGTTGTTTGACCATACTCAACCACACTGGGGCCGTTGGATGTAACCCAGCCCACTGGCAGCTGGGTCGATGGATTGCACAGTCATTTGTCTCTCAGCGTGCTCGGTAGTGAAGTGGGATGTGATATGGCAGTAGAGTAAGCGTGTTCATGACCTATTTGTGTGAACATTAGTCTTGCATATGTGGGGTTTCTGCAGGAACAAACCCCAATGCTAGAGCATCCTAAAAAAAAGTCTTGAGACAACATTGTACGTTATATGCTGCATATGGGTCTTTCTGTGTCGAATCATCAGGTGTAAGAAATGCCTTGTAAGTTCTGGTTACCAAGATACCGATTAAGAAAAACATCCTATAAGGAAACAGTCAATCGGGCCTCAATCCCTGCCCTACCTTGTAAATATCATGGTGGGATCATGGCTAGTGGTGAAGTGCTGATTCTTTGGGAAACCACCTCGTGTATGTATCACGTGACCGAGCTTCAGGAAACTCGGATGTGTCATAAGCCCTTGTTGATTTAACAAGGTTGAACCATGTGCGTTGCAGCATGTACATGTTTTTGACAAGGGAAGAATTCATTGAAACACAGGTCTTTCACAAGGAAGCCTTAACAGCTAATCTTTATATATGTGCAGCTTCAACATCTTCATGGAAATGCATTCAGAATGACAAATGAAGGCCATGTGGCCGTGATGGTGCAGTATAGATGTGGTAAGGTCCTAGATATGGGAGGGTGTGTTTAAATTAGGGGTCTCTGTGTGTGTGTGCGAGAGTGTTATGATCTCGGTGTATAGGGAAAATGTCATTGTATTAGAATCATTGTTGGGAGTATTGTGGTTTAAAATATACATGTGTGATAGAGTTACATATGCAGTTTTACAGGGTGAATCTCAGGGTTTACGTGTCACAGTTCCCACCAAATCTTCACTGCACTCAGCGCCGCGTTGTAATATATTGCGCCCACGAGTAATGAGCAGGCGAAACCAGTCCGTTGAAGGAGCCTCCGGTTGAGATTATCCCAAATGTGGCACGTCTGTATATCCCCGTGCACACCCACGAGGGTTCCTACCTGTCTAGAATTGACTTGGACAGTCCTGGAATTTGCATCTGTCCGGGTTTGGTCTACAGTGGAAAAGGTGGCAACCCCAACGCCCACACTATGTATGAAACATACTATACATACACACACAGGGTAAATCGTTAAACTACCCGCTATCTTTGCCGTCTTAAAAAGAGCTATAGTGTAGTCAGAAAATAAATGGTAGGGATCGCTTAGGGAGCAATAGTTGAACCCTAACATATGCCGTTGAAATCTGGACATGCAGGGCAAATACTCAAATGAGCGGTCTTCTTTCAAGCAACGGATGTTTTAAACGCGAACAGTGAAAAGCCGTCCTAGAAAAGATGGAGTTGGTGTTAGGGGCTTGAGTTAGGGCCAGTGGAAGGGCTAATGATGGTTCCTGGTTGGTTGGACAGCTATAGTAAGTTTGGGGAAGATGCTTTGCCCCCTAGTTTACTGTCCCCTTCTCTCTGCTATAGGATAAACATAACTTGCTAAGTTTTATATAAACTGAGGCTCTGAATGTGTACCCATGGTTCTCCGACACGAGTATAATGCTCGGCGGTTACTGAGAATTAAACTTGACATTTATGTTCTGGCTTCAGCACAGCGCTGCAGAGACGTGCTCAATGTTGATTCGAAGCTTTCGTGACTGCAGGAATCCATCCACTTTGGTTCTTTCGGTAAAGCCATGTAGGTATAAAAATCAATATTACGGTTGTACGTTTCAGTCATAAGACATTCAGGTCTCTTCGTTTAGTCCTGCGGCACGAAACGCACTGAGTGGGGTGTAGTTACACGAGAAGAGCTGCTGCAGTGTTTTTGGTTGTCTTTAATTCGGATAAAATTAATAAAGTTTGCTCCAGCCAACACCTGCGTTCGAGGGAGCTCTGTGCAGTCCATGTGCGCGCTTTTGCTGCAATGAAACCACTAAACAATTATGGTGACAAATTGGAAGATGATGGGATGTGGAAGATTGAGACCATGGTGCTGATTGATAATCGGATGTTTTACATATACACACATAAATAAAACATGAATTGCTGTAACGTTATGCTTTATGGTTGTTGCTGATATAATCAGTTGTCACTTTAATACAGAAATTCGTTCCATACCAGTAGCGCTAAATAAGTGAGCAGACTACGTCGCCACCATAAATCGATCCCTCCATGTATAGAATAAAAAATTATACACGCAGACGCTCATGGTTATTGTGGAGGATTCTTGGGACAATGGCCCGTCTTCACAGCACAAGTCGTGTGGTGCAATAATCCACTTGCTGATGCTGACGGATGCCACCAAAGCCCACTTCGATCCACTTGCCCCTGTGGCTCTCGATCCGTTTTCTTCATTAATATTCAGAGGGGGCCACAATCGCCGATAAGACATCAGTGTGAGGGCCGCACACATTTGAAACCATTGGGTTTGACAACATGATGATAAGGATTGACAACATGATGATAAGGTTTGACAACATGATGACAAGGTTTCACAACAACATGATAAGGTTTGACAACATGATGATAAGGTTTGACAACAACATGATAAGGTGTTTTCACGTTTTGTGTATTGTCGAGGGCCAAACTAATTAGCCCCCATTGGCCCACGGGCCTTGTAATGGAGAACACTGCTCTCGGTGATTCTGCACGAGAGAACCTCAAGGAACTTCCACCCAACCCCAAGTAATTATTAATAACCCCAACACGAGGCATAGCCCACGAAACCAAAAGCAACTCGGTAAATTGGCACTGCGTGAAGAGAGGTCCACACCCACGGGGAGTAGTGGCGCTACGCAGAGCGTCTCGACACGAACTCGGTCACTACGGGCGCGGTCCACGAGGTGGCGCCGCGCCACCGCCTCACCCCGAGGGGGGTTCACTCCAACGCCCATCGGCAACAACCACCGCTGTTCACGCCGCTTGTGCCAGGCTAAGTGCACTTTTGAGGCCACGTGAAATGTGGAAGACCGCTGCTGGCAGGAGGTCACGGGGCAGAGGCAATTGTAATGAGTTGACTGTTTTGTTGTAGTACGGAGTTAGACTGATGGCCTTAATTTAAGTTTTCTTGTTGTTTGACTTGCATCCCACTGGGATTTGTTTGCACACAGCGTTGGTGTAAGGTGCTTTTTTCAGGAATATTTTGCTGTTTTTAATGGATTTTCTGTTTGCACAGTCACATAGTCACTTTAATATGTTTTTCTTGTTTGTGTTTTTTGTTTGTTGTGGTTGCACCCGTTTCAAGAGTCGAATGGCTCACAGGGCTATACCAAAATAAATAAACTAAAAACTAAAACTAAGCCATCGGAGCTCCCCACTGTGCCGATCCTGCTGCACTTTATCCGCCCGGCGCTCTGCTGCCCTCTGCTGTCGTTGGGGGGCGAATGCCTCCAACAAGCCCAGCAGCGTCACTCGGACCGGTCAAAGACGCACAAAGTTAAGTTGGCGTTCGGGTGAACACGACGGGAGGATCCAGTGCCTTCGGGTTAGCGGCTTTTTTGCTATTGGTAACCTCGAGTCCACCTATCGATTCACTGGTGACGGGTGAGACCCTCACGTACAGAAATGCTCAAACCCCTACCCGCTCCCCAGGATTGGCGATGCCTCCTTTATACTCTTTGGTTCTTTCGGTAAAGTCACGTAGGTAGAAAAAAATAGATCACGACGTTTCGATCGCCACACAAGCAATCGTCTTCAGGTGGAAGATCTATTTGTTTTTCCTATTTACGTGACTTTACCGAAAGAACCAAAGAGTATGGGTTCCTGCAGTCAGGAAAGCTTCAAATCTCCTTTAAACTGTTCCCAGGTGACCAGGTCCCGACCTAAATCGACGCCGTTTCTCCACTGCATGACACAACACGTACCGAGCGGCTCCCGAGGGGCCTCGACTCATCCCCACGAAGGAGACGTCGCTCTCTCGGCTCCCTTGGGGGACAACGCTCTGATGATGCTGGATCTACCGTGGGCTCCCCTGGCCCCACCGGGAGTGTGGTGGCCTCGGGGTGTATGCAGAAAGCAAATGCTATTTGCGTGCTGGCTGACATACAATCCAAGAAACGTGTTAGTCGTTATCGAGCCCCCAAGGTGCATAATAAAGTGATGTCTCCGACTCGTGTCCACTCGTATATACCCCTCGCCTCCCTGTGCCGTGTAGAGGGACATTGCCCGCGAAGGTCGCCTACCACGGAATGCATTTTGAAGGCCACAGCGTTTTTTGACGAATGTGAGAGTTTGTTTTCGATGGTGCACTCGCACCACGGCAGCGTAGCTCGTACGGCTCGCCGAGGAGATTGGGGGATTATTTAGGGGATTATTTTGTGGGTTATTTTTGGGGCGGTGTCGCCGATGTTCGGGGCGGGGTCGGGCGGCGCTGCGGGGCGCGGCCTCTCGGTCCGGGCGGAGGCGGCGTCTCGACCATCGGCGGAGTCCGAGGTGACAGCGCGCAAGATGTTGACGCTCAAGACGTTCGCCGTCTTCTCGACCCTGCCGCGCCTCCTCGCCCTGGGACTGCTGCTGTCGTTGCTCGGCCACGCAGCGGCGGCGGCGGAGGGGGAGAAGACGGCGCTGAGTACAGACAACTGGCGAGACGTGCTTCAGGGAGAATGGATGCTCGAGTTGTGAGTACACAACGAGTGGGACGCTCGCTGCAGCCCTCGCGGATTGGAGGGGGTGTGGGGCGGGGTCCGTCTCCTGTACTCATGGGGACACCGGCACATGGCGGGTTATGTTGAAGGACGGTAGACCCTAATGCGTTCTGCTTTTATTACCACGCATGTCGGCCATACACTCACAATGAACACATCGTTCGCATAGCCTACTATGTTAGACTTGGGGAAAGTGATGTTTGCGAGCATCCTTTAAGCCCGGCACGCCGCAGACCAGCGGGTGCCGTGGCCACAACCATGCCCCATCCGCATTCCCAGTTCCATCGATGTTTACACAGCATACAATATACGCATGTAAGTCTGAGTCGAGCTAGGGGAGGCTATGCGGATACGCAGTGCGCTGTAGTCGTGCACTGACCATGCGACACTGTATATTGTCGATGTGTTCTCTACCCTGTGCGCAGTATACAGCACTGTATTATAAACCGTGTCTGTGCCTCATGGCACGCAGAGTAATAATGTTGTTCACGGTGTACATCACACGCACACTGCACAAGGGGAATGTTTTGCTGGAGTATGTATAAACTACTGTATGTTGACCTTCTTTCGCACCGTACGTAGCTAACCGTGCCCATTGGAGGTGCGGGTGTCATAGAGTCCACGTGCACTGTTCTTGGTGCGAGTTTAACACGTTTACTGCGAATAGTCATCAGCCGTGATCAATCCACTGCTGGATTAATTAATCCCCCAGCTGTTATATCTCACGACTGCGCAATGTAATATTTGGACATCGTGTACGACGATACTAGCAATACGTGCAAAAAGAATATATTTTTGTGTACCGGCTGACATACCATGCAAGAAACGTCTCAGCTCTTAATCTATTTTATCATTGGTCGTTGCTCAATTCGGATTATACCGAACAATTATCTCCCTCGGACTGACTGGCAAACTCGGGCGCCAGGTCACTTTTGCCAAAGCGACTGACGTTGGTCCCCATGAGTTATTCTCGCTTGGTCAAACGAAATGGAGATTTTGAGAGTGCTGTTTGTTGCTCGCCGCTTTACAAACACACTGTACTGTACACATGACTCGTCTCTATATTTGTTTTTAAGCGCCACTGCCGCCTCTGGGTACAGTGCGAAAATTGGCGCCAACAGCCGTGTACGCTGCACCCACTGTACTGCACTTAGCGTGCACTGCATCCCACAAAAACATCCTCATTACATGTGATTGCAATCCTCACTGCTTTTACTCTTCTCATTCCACACGTCATGCAACTGCCTCGCTGCAGGATGGCACATTTCCTCTCATGGTTCGGCTTTATTATTCCCGTTTTTCCAACCTTTAACCTGATTCGATTCACGAAGCTTCTCTCTCACCTGCTACTACTACCCTTACTTGAGCTATATGTTGGCTGATTTTTATTATGACTTAGAGCCTCTGCTTAGGAACGGTGATCTCAGAAAAACAACTATTAAGGAAAGGAAGATGAACTTGACTCGACTTTTACAATACAGTACAATTTTCGTTTTAAAGTGACTGCATCCCAAGATGCTGTATAGAAGTGGGCAACACAGTAGTTGAATATGTAATGTTTAAACTGAAGTAGACCATGGGAAAGACTCGTGCAAAGCAAGAGAAGGTTTCCAATGTATTTTTGATGACAGAAGAGAGGAGGCCATTGGTAGGCAGAGGAGATGATATTGGCCCTGTGGCTTTCCCATAATTACAAATGGCTCGACCTGTGTACTCTGCCCTTCTTGACCCTGCACCTCCACAGCTATGCCCCATGGTGCCCCGCGTGCCGGCAACTGCAGTCAGAGTGGCACAAGTTTGCGCGGACGAGCAAGGAACTTGGCATTAACACAGCCTCTGTGGACGTGACCCGCGAGCCAGGCGAGACCCCCCCCCCCCACACACTTTGTGCATCACAAGCCGTGACAAAAGTTTATATTTTTGTTGTTGGGTGTTGCGTCTAGTTTACCAGGATTGCTGCCACCGGGAGTCACCTTCGATTGTTTTAAGATGAGATGTGATGAAGAGCACTTGGAGTTGCTGAGGAATTTCATTTCAATATAAATGTCAAGATTAAAATTAAAATATGATTTATGCCTCCATTCCTGAGTCTGATGGTCGGGTTGGTGGATTAGACAGTGACAAATTTCGTGATAGTCATGATGATGTAAGTGGGACCAGTCCGTCCTAGCAGTAATGTGCTGTGGAAGAGTATCCCCTTCGTATGTGTGTGGATATTCTCCGATCTCTATGTTTCCCCCCATATGTAACACATTTAAACCTCAACAACGTATTGGTTTTAATAATACAAATTAGAACCCACCTGAGCTGGAGTTTGAAAGCTTATTTTAGAGAGAAACTAACATGATTTTTCTTATTGGTTCTTTCGGTAAAGTAACGTAGAATGGAAATAAAATAATAAAACATAATAAAATAAAATTCTCACGACGTTTCGGCCACAACACAAGTAGCCTTCTACAGGTGGAACAGAACTGCCGGGACGACAGCGCTTCAATGAACACTGCTAAGCTTCGCAGCGTCTTTTAAGCTGGGTGGGAGGAGCAGAGCGCCTTGACAAAGGAGCTTACATATCAACAGAATAATTTAGCATTGAAATAGCTGTGTTAAAGTGTTAGATTAGCAGGGTGTTAAAGTCAGAAATTAGCATGTAACTGGGAGATTAGTATGATGTTAATGTGAGGGATTAGCATGTAACTGGTCACGGAAATAGCTACATGCTAATCCCTCACATTAACATCATGCTAATCTCCCAGTTACATGCTAATTTCTGACTTTAACACCCTGCTAATCCAACACTTTAACACAGCTATTTCAATCTCAGGCCTTGCATTTGGGATGCTAAATCATTCCACCACTCACATACGTGAGTCTCATCCTAGGACACTTACAGATTTGGTGTCCCCAGTTATTCCCTGCTAAAACACTCTGTGCTTACTCAGACTTAATTTCAACTGGTAAGGCCCATTGAGCTAAACAGCTCTTCTACAAGGATGACTCGGACTATGTTACCATACCCTGCGCTGTTTGTTTGAACATTGTTGTGAGTTGTTGCGCGGAGAGCATGCAATGCTCCCAAGGGGGAGGTGGCATGGAAAGAGAAGGGGTTGTGCGCTTTCATGGAACCGACAGTTTCCTTGTTTGGGGCAGGTCCTGCAAAGTAAGCCCTCCCAGTTAAGAACATACATAATGATCATTGTAGTACACTCTCGTGTACATGCACGTGAATGTATGTGCGTTGAGCGGAGAACGTAGACGAAGGTTTATACTCTTTGGTTCTTTCGGTAAAGTCACGTAGGTATAAAAAAGATAAAATAATAAATTAATTCGACCACGATGTTTCGATCGCAACACAAGCAATCATCATCAGGTGGGAAAACCACAGCAATATTTTTTTTCCTGAAGTGGGAGGGAAATACCGTGGTAAGAGGTTATATAGGTAAGAGAGGGGGGAGGAGCAAGTTAGGGGGAGGGGAGCGTTGCGTGGACGCTAGGAGAGGGAGACGTGAAGCTAGGACGGGGGAAAGTGGGCGGGGCTGGGAGTGAGGTGCTGAATGATGAATGGGGAGGGGGGGGGGACGCTACAACAAAGCAGCAACAGTACCAATAAAGGCAACAACCAACCCCCATGCAGCAGCAATGCCAAACGCTAGGGATGTAGTTAACTCGGCAAAATAGACTAGTGCCCGGTAAATATGGTGGAACAACCATAAAGTATTTAAGATATTACCTGGTTAATAGCATCCTTCCAATGATCGCTTAATTTGTATCCATCTTCTCGAATGAAGTTATGTCTATGTTTATATATCTGGATGGCTTCATGAACAAACCTTTGAAAGTAGCCCGAAGGTTTACAGAGCACCTTGGTCTCGGAAAAAACAATATCATGAGAGCCCACAGCGTTATAGCAATGGGTAGGCACGGCGGAGGTATTAGTTCTACCGTGTTTCAGATCTGACTTGTGCTCGCGAACACGGTCCGAGACATGACGTTTCGTTTCCCCAATGTAACAATCACCACAGGTGCAACTGAGTTTGTAGACTCCCGGATATTGCATGTCAGGAATAACATCCTTTACAGATGGGATTAGATCACGGATTTTGTGTACTGTATTGAATCGGACCTGGATCTTGTGTTTGTTTAAGATTTTGGCAATCTTTTTGGTAACGCCTGCTATGTATGGTAACGTGATAGTTTTGATCGGCGTCCCTTTTCTTCAGGATGATCAACAACGCCGGTCCCTCTGGGGACCCGGCTTATATTCTCTGCGGCGTGGCTGGCTCCGCCCTTGGCCACGACCACCTTCCAGAATCCTCGGGCAGGATCTGAATTCCAACCACGTGACACCCCTAGCCCGCACTTGGGGCCCCTTTGTAGACTTAACTGGTCACGTGTCCTCTCGGGTCAACCAGAGTGCCATGTTCATAATAAACGTTTGTGGGTTAGATCGCGTTATTTATAAATGTGTTGTTACCCTCCACCACCCGACATGGCCAATCAGTAAAAAAGTGTCACGTTGACAAAAGACAAATAGTTTACTACTTTAGCCCACCGGTGTGTTGAAGAGTGAATCCACAATATTTACAATTTTTTGAGTACAACATTTCGCTGGTAATTACATCCAGCATCATCGGGTAATTCGCCAGAATGGTGAAGCCGTCACTTGCTCCCGGTCTTAAATAGAGCAGCAGGGTGACGTCATCGTTTCACTCATTCAAACGTTTATTATGAATAATATTGGTCACGAAAGCCTATGTGTTAGAGTGCCATGGCGTTTAGTAACCTCATTCCTAGTGGCCGGCACTCCCACACCCTGCCCTGTAGGGCTGGCACTGCACGCCAAGTCTGGTGACATCCAGCGCGATCAATCAGCGCTCACCGGGCCCCTCTAGGGCCGGTACTACACCCACACCATAGTGGTATCCGTGATGTCGTTACACCGCACGCCGTGCCTCTCTAGGGCCGGCACTGCAGAGTGACATTCCGCGATGTCACTCCAAATGTTTTGTACGAATAAAATTGTTATTTTATGGTGAGCGTGGTTCATGCGCCACACTACAATTCCAGTGATGCAAGTTTGACTCCTGACCACGAACAACATCAGTGGGAATTGTTAGTCAAATCTGGCTCGGGTCTCTCCTAAGTCAGCTCAGCATAAGATATTTGAGTTTGGGAGACAAACATTGTCAATTGGGTATGGTACTGGCCACATCAATCCTGAGTGGTATGGTGCACTTACAAACACATGGATGTACACACACACGACACTGTCTGTTAACTTGCTGTTATTGTCACACAGGCCTAAGTGGGCGATTCTTCATCACGTCTCTGCCCACCATCTACCAGTGAGTGGAGCACACATACACAAAATAAATGTAGGTAAATAAAATTACACATACATGAATATAGTTTTGCTATTTAGTTGGGGTTAATTTTAAGCTTAGGGGGTCAGATCTATCATTCTTTCAGGGTGAATAATATGAGTAGCTTTAAATTTCGATTTAAAGCTTTCGTGACTGCAATGATTCATCTTCTTTGGTTCTTTCGGTAAAGTCACGTAGAATGAGAATAAAATAATAAATTGATAAAATAAAATAACACAATAATATTCTCACGACGTTTCGGCCACAACACAAGCGGCCACTCCAGCGCTGTCCTACCAGACAGTCTCGCTCCCTTCACCTGATGAAGGCCGCTTGTGTTGTGGCCGAAACGTCGTGAGAATATTATTGTGTTATTTTATTTTATCAATTTATTATTTTATTCTCATTCTACGTGACTTTACCGAAAGAACCAAAGAAGAAAAATATGAGTAGCTCTTTGGGAGAAGTTGGTTGTGGAGGTCCAATGTACAGACTGACCTCTGTCAAAGGAATGAGACATTTCCACTGCTAGTTCAGGGGCCCTCAGTGAATTGAGCAGGGAGACTAATTTATGCTGTGTATAGATGACATGTTTAGCAGAATACATACAAATTGTACCAAATCATTTTGACCAAATGAGCAGAGACTGCATATGTTTCATGATAAAATATGGCAAGGCTTTTACCTATAGCATCATAGAATCCAGGAGAATGTATATAATTGTATATAACGTATATAATATATAATTGTATATACTGTATATAATTGTATATAATGTATATGAATTATATAATTATATATAATGTATATAATGTGTATAATTGTATATAATGTATATAATTGGCCACACATGCTGATGAAGTTCAGAGAAGTCAAAACCAGTCCAGGATTTGTCTGCTCAAACGTATGCTGCATTGATTCTGAGGGCCTCTTGGTTAATAATTATGATTGCTATGTTAGTTTACCCGGGAAAGCCTCAGTGAGTATCAAGATTTATTTAGGAAGGTCTTGCCAAGTTTTCACAGTAATTCCAATTGTGTAGTTTTGGAGGTAATTTTTCAGAATGTTGATGTTTGGCCATTACCAGTTACGTTGTATGGTTGTATGTTGTTTTAGCTATGGGAGAATGTTGATGTTTGGCCAATACCAGTTACGTTGTATGTTGTTTTAGCTATGGGAGAATGTTGATGTTTGGCCAATACCAGTTACATAGTATGTTGTTTTAGCTATGGGAGAATGTTGATGTTTGGCCAATACCAGTTACGTTGTATGTTGTTTTAGCTATGGGAGAATGTTGATGTTTGGCCAATACCAGTTACGTTGTATGTTGTTTTAGCTATGGGAGAAAACCGGAGAATCTTGAGGAAACCCATGTAGAACAGGGGGAGAACGTACAAACTCTGAGTTGGGAATTTAACCCAGGCCCTTCTTGCTGCAAGGCACATGTGTTACCACTGCGCCGCCACCCTGTCGCCCATGATGGAGTTGGGATATTATTTTTCAGCTATTCAAGGGATGCCTTCTCCATAGTTTTTAAAATATATATGTTAAAATGGCCTGACATTCATAAGCAGAAGGTAAATAGGTGCTTTCTACAGTGGGGTGGTGGATAGGGGAGTTGGGCTGGTGGTCAGGGCCATATGAGAGCTCGTGGGGGGGCTGGGGGGGGAGAACCACGTGTTGGAGAGTCTTTAGGTTGCACGCCACAGGCAGCCAAACTGCCTCCTGCTTCCTCACTGATAAGAAGCAGGCTTTATCCAGCCACGTCAGCAACGTTAAACGCAATTGGATATGCGAGCGTTTATGTCTGGATGCCCCTCTGCGCAATATATTGCACCCTCTTATTAGGTGCATTGTTCACGATTGCTAGGCTTTAATAAAAAAAGTGAGCATACATTTTGCAACAAACTTATGCACTTTCGCGGATTTCTATTTGAACCTGCGTGGACTGGACTTGCTAAATCTCCAGACGGATTTATATTGACCGCTAGCAATGTTGCTAATCAGGATGAACTACTCCTGAAGCCACTCAGATTCACACTAGGTTGCAGCATATTTTATCCCCAGGGCAGGGTGATGCCAAATTAAGTGACAAATCAACCTTAACATAATCATTTATTTTTGTAATCATTGGTGGCTAGGATGACACCATCAGCTCGCTATACTTGAAACCCCGATTTAATAATGGGGTGAGTGAAACGTGTATTCAAGCCTAACATCTCAGACGTGCCTTCTCAGAAGTGCCAGCTCAGTGGTCAGACATGGCATGGACGTTTGTGAGCCATCCTCAGCAAATATAATTATGTTGACACACAATGGCTTACTCTTAAGAATTATGCCACAACATGCCAAATGGTGTGTGTGTGGTTGTACACACCATGTATGCCATGCATACGCCATGCACTTCACTACACACACCATGTACCATGTACACACAACAAGCCATGTATACCATATCTTATGTACACCATGCACATTGTGCACAACATATATACCACACTCCATACATTGTACACCACACACCCAATATACATACCGTGTACCATGTACATATCACACACACCATGTATATATGACAGAAGATGATACGCGTTGGTCATCCACGATATAAATTTCAAGGCATTAAGCCATCACCCCTAAAAATATATATTATTGAGCACATGACCAGAAGGCTATCACTAGTTGTATTTACTTATAAAATATATTTGAAAGCAATCATATAAGTAAATAATATGATAAATAAGGGAATCAATGGAGCTCTGTTTGCTGTTGAGGTTGCGTAGGAGACGTGTATCGTGATGGTCCGATAATTCTATTGAGCAAGTGCTGAAAGGAAATTGATAAGTTAACGGTTTCCCCTAATCGTGTCACGCATAGCAGAGTCTGCTTGTATTTGGCGGGAGATTTTGGAGATGATTATGCTCACGATGCAGTGGATTGTAGCATGCCACAGTTTGTTCTGCTGGCTAAGAGACAATACTCTAATGTTCTATGGATTCAAATAAGAAATAACTAATTAAAATGAGTTGCGATAAATGTGCAGTACCTTTTGCGGAGTGGTCCAAATCAGTTCTGAGAACAAATGATAGCTAGGTATGCAAAGTTCTACCTACACTACGGTCTCGTGTGCAATGCTAATCCTAAGTGGTGCTCACTTATACCACATGCCCCAACAGTCTAGGATGTAAAACAGGGAATTATTGTGTACGCACAAGTTGAGTCTCTAAAACACAGCAAGTTGACAGAGTCGGGAATGCAGATGATGCGTATTTCAGTAACCTTGATTTTTAAAGCCATAACACTTGCATCAGTCACATGACCTGTCAGAGAGGATTTGCAATTCCACAAGTCTGCAAAAGGATCATAGTGGTGTCATCACCACTTAGTGTGAACTCTGTCCTGTTGAACGTGTATATGTGGGGCTCTGTACATGTTTGTTTTTGTAATCGCTGTGTATGCGTTTGTAATAATGAATGTTTGTGTCTGCCCATCTATATGTGTGTGTTAAACGTGTGAACCTGCCACATCAGTGTGCGCGATGGAGAGTTCCGTCAGTTCTCGGGTCCAAGGCAAGCGGCGGACTTAAGCCGCTTCGTGTTGGCGCGCCAGTGGGAGCAGGTGGCTCCTGTGTCGGCGTGGAAAGCGCCTCCCTCCATTCTGTACGTGGCTTCGCTCAGCAATTGGCTCACTCGGTCTCTCACTTGCTTAATCGTTCGTTCGCTCGTTCACTCACTCGGGCATTCTCACTGACTCGGTTTGTTCAGTCATTCACTTGCTCATTTACTCACACAGTCAGGCACTCACCTATTTGCAGGGAGACACGTGGACTTTATAACATAAAATTAAGTTGAACATCAAGTGACCTCTCAAATTAATTAATAATAACTGTTTATTGATTACGTACAATTAATCAACGATATAAATTTAAAACGATTTATTCGGCACTAATCGATTGGCTGTATCGTAACCAGCAAGTTCCGCCCGGTTGTGCTTTAGGATGACGGGGATGTCCTGGCTCTTCCAGCTCTCCATGTGGATTCGGGTGAGGCTCCTTGGTCTCTCTCATTCCTGTCTGCCTTCTGTCTATATATATGGGCTTGTGTCTACTTAAGTGTCCTTTTGACTTTATATAATAACGTATTTCTGGTGTAGTCGTTATTTCTCTCTGTTACACTGTCTCTTTAAAATGTATTCCCTCTGCCTCCCTTTGACACTGTCTCATGTAGTCTTATGTTTTGTTGTCTCTGTGTCTTGTAACCTTGTCTATGTGTCTTGGCCAGCCTTGTCCCTGCGTCTCGTGTAGCTTTGTCTTGGTTTTATGAGTTAATTCAAATGAATATACTCTTAATGATCTGAAGAGTGAGTTGTTATAGATTGAGTTAATATTTATGTCTCATTCTTTTTTCTGCTGTAAGTAAAATGGGTGATCTATTTGCATCCTTATTCAATGTGTATTTTTATTGGTGTGTGCAAATCTGTGGCTGCATGTAATCGTACATGGAGTTTGCATGTTCTGTACCACAATGCAATTAAATCATGCTACATTCCTAGCCCCACGCACACAAACCAGTGGCAATAAGTATCTTAGTGGAGTATGTGCCTGCCTAGTTTGACTCGGCCTAAATTGAGTGCTTGGTGTGGAGTGGGGGACAAAGGTGACCAGGGATATACACGGTGCTGACCCACGATGGCAGCCATAGCAGATGCTTGCGAAGAATATTTGGCCTGGCAGTCCAGACAAAAAGTCGGCGCATTCTATCTTTGTGTGTGTGTGTGGTCCAGCAAATGCATGGCTGGCTGACGGAGACGCTGGGCCTCCCCACGTGGGGCTCCTATGTGGTGTTTGGTCTGGCAACGCTGCTGCTGGGCCTGTGCCTGGGTCTGGTGAGGGACGCACGCTGGTGCCACGTGTATGGCACAGCCGGAACGCACCACATCCTCTCCCTTGCCATACACAACTCACCTGTATAATGCACACCTCACACAAACCACATCCCTCTAATTCTCCGTACCACACCTGTGTACTCCACAAGCCCCATGGAATCAAACGCACCTCACACCTTTGTACCACAGCCCACAGATTGAGTTTGAGGTTATTTGTTTTGATACCGTACTCGTGTAGTATTGCTTGCATGTAGTGGGAAGCTCGTTCGAGTCTCATGCACCTCACACCCTATTCACCACACTTGTGGCACATAAAGTGAGTTTACATGTCAAAATTAATGCGCACGTGTTGTAGTGTCTTCATTGATACGTGTGCACATCGGTGAGTAGAGTAGGTCTGAAAATGGTGCTTCCCATGTAGTGCTATAGTGCTGCAGGCTGAGAGTAACAGTGTTGGGATTGATCTGTGGAGGATGGCATATGAATATGACCGATGGTAGCATCCGTGAGGAGTAGTGGTGCAAAGGTTCACGCTCCACTGCGACTTGGATTCCATCTTCTACCATGAGAATAACATTCGTAACAATTAGTGTCTGAATTAGTGGCGTCAACTTGGTCAGCTCAGCCTTAATTAACAGCCTAGGGTGGTGTGTACACATGAGCAATAGGGTGTCGATGATGGTGGCCAGACATGGTGCCTGCCAAACCACTGCTTTGTGTATCGTGCTGACTCTAATAGGTACTTGCTAACAGCACTGGTCTGTAAGTTAAACAAGTAATCCTCAATTTATCTTGGTCTCTTTTGTGACATTCCATAACCCTTCCCAACTCCACGTGACCTCAAAGCGCACCTCGCCTGGAAAAAGATCCGTAGCAACGTCACTACCGCCGAGTTGCAGATGGCGGCTGTTCTCATCGTGTATGTGCGTTTGTGCACGTGCTTGGTTGCAGGTGTTCATCCTACTCGTTGACCTCTTATTCCAGCCGAAACGGAAACATCTGGTGCCCTCCGAGAAAGGTAATCAGTGCGAAGCTTAAAATTGCTGGACATTGGTAGGAAGGTGCAATGTTACAGATCTCAGCATTCATTTTAATTCTAAAATTCAGTAGAGTAAGCCAGCTGAGAGAGCATAGCTTCAGTGAGCCTGCCAGTGTTTTTTTTTGTGCAGCCGTCGCAAGGAATTGTGAGAGTACGCCATCTGGCGTGAAGTGAATGTTAAGGGGCTGTGGTGTCATTCAAAAGATAAGGGCACTCGTTGGAGAGCCTCCTCGCGCCGTCTGGGTCATGGGTGTGTTTCGGCCGTGCTGGTCTGTGCGGGTTGGTGATGGCGAGGAGTGTATATGTTGGACCGTTGAAGGTACAGTACAACAATACATTTTACTGCACTACGCTCTGCTGCTCACCACGTAGCCCCACAGCAGCCTGTTGTCCATGGTGACTGTCCATCCAGGTGCTATCCAGGCTCAACCTGCTTAGCTTCTGAGATCTGATGCATACCTAGCGATTCGGTCATAGTCGTATTAATTACAAGAAAGTATTCAATAGCAATTGTATTGTTAAATGTATATGATTAATTACATATGCTCCACAATGCATGTAACACCTAACACAACGTTAGTGTAGTTGAATTGATATAATTCGTTGAGTGTTGCGTATTTTGAACACAAGGGAGTTGTATATCTAGGTTTCAACCCATCATCAGAATCGCCAAGTCGACAAGGACCAGCATCCAATTGGATGACGGTGGCAATGTAGGCCACGTCGAGGTCCCAGCCAGTGTGTTGGTGAACCCCCTGGGCCAGCTGGTAGGGCGACCCCACGAATGGGATGGACAGAACACACCTGACCTGGGAAAAAACACTCAATAAGGAAGTGACCCTGATGAAAAAGTCCGAAGTGGTTGGGCACCTGTTTCATGGTTCTGATTGGCCGGCATAACTGGTTTTAAGTTGGGGAAACAAAAGGCTGAAGCTAATGGAAAGCTTCTCTGGGATTTCTCAATTAGGAAAAGGTGCATCCAACCTGGTTCGTTGCTAAATAATGATGACAATCCGCTATGTGATTAATGAAAGAGAGCGTGCGTTACCCCAGGGTGTGGCTGGGGCTGTAGAACCAGAGAGGGGGCAGGAAGGCAGGGAGGGAGCTGTGGCGCGTCTCCTTCTGGTGCTGGAGTTTTGTATTTTAGTGTCGTCTTTACTGGCCAGCTGCGTCGAGTGAGATTAATCTGGGGGGGTGTCACGGCTTGTGAAAGGTGCTCCACTAGGCTGGTTGTGCTGACTGTACTTGTTCACAAACACTTCAGCACAAGGCTATTGCATGCCTTCTTCGTGTCCTTTGAGGTTTTGTGGCAAACTGCAGTTTTACTTTTGTGTATTTTTTTCTAGAAGAGAATGCTTCTGAAGGCCAAGCAGAAGATGAGGTCGAAAAAGTTGAACTAGGCGGACAGGGAGATGAAAACGTTGATAACGGCGATAGTCAGGCCTCGGACACGGAGGATGGGAACATTGGAGTCCAGGACGGGGACCCTGCCAGCTCAGAGGAAGAAGTTGGCGAGTTGGATGATGGCGCCGGAGATGCTGGGGCCACGCTGCGCATGCGACGGCCACAGCCCGGGGCCCAGGGGCTGGAGGAGCCTTAAAGAACGGGGCTTGGGAAGGCGTTTCGAGTGGAATTGTATCATCTGCTTGTGTGAGTGGTGTGCTGGATCACACCCTTTCATCGCGTCTATTGGTCCCCAGTTCAACACCCTCAGCCCCCTATCCCCCTGCATTTACAGCGCCGGCGTACTATAGGAATGTGGTAATGCGTCTAGGTGGGCAAGGGCTTGGATACACTTAAAATTGTTGGTGCAATCAATGGGGGGGGTCCATTCGGATTTTGTCGGATTGGACTGAATCGATCGTAAACTGATTGAGGTGAAATGCTGTAGAATATATCGTGCTGCAGTTCACACCCACTATAAATCCTACTGACTCACACTGTTACATATTCTGTAGATTAACATCAGTGTAGATTCTATAGATTTACACCACAATAGATTATATAAATTCACTTAACTATAGATATCATTTGTTTATGTTGCTGTGGATTGCGTATTTTCACAGTGAAAGAATCTCACGACAAAATTACTATGAATTATACGATACGTAGAATCACGCAATCGCGCACTCTTAGACATTTCTTTGGTGCAAACACACCAAGCCTTAGAGCATTGGAAGGGTAGTGATGCAGAAGTGTCAATAGTGGCTTCCTGTGATAGCATTGCTCCCCATTGATTGCTGTGCACGGTGTATCTAGGCCTTAAGACTCACGTGTAATGTGAACAACCTGGATAGTCAGTCCAATGTTGATTGATTACAGTTGCATTTTGATTAAGTAAATAGCCCAATATTGCTCAACATATATTACCTTTAGATTGTGCCACAGATAAGTTCCGCACTTGTCAATGGCCAGTCAAAAGATTGCTTGTTTGTGCACGTGCATGTGATGCATAAGTGCAATGGGAATTTTACATCATATCGGAATTACGCATTTAACATTGTGAAACCAATTTCAGTCATGCCGGAAATGTATTTGTTTCACAACTGTGTAATAGGATTGTATTAAAATTTTAGTTTTATTTTAGACAGTGATCCCCCGTTTTGAACAGTGGCAATTGTGCTAGTACTGCACATGAGGAAGTGGTGTGACCGTCACTATGTGCTGATGTTCAGCACACTCATCAGATACACAGAGGACTATTAAGGGAAGGCCCAAGAACGATGCACATGCCATGTGCTGCTGATATGCAGTGTTGTTTGGAGTTGAGGGGTGGCACAGCGGTAACACTTGTGCCTCACACCAAGAAGGTCTTGGTTTCGATTCCTGACTGGCGCCCTTCTCTGTGGAGTTCTCCCCCTGCTCTGCATGGGTTTCCTCCTTTTTTCTTCCAGAGCTGAAATAAGCCCATACATTTTACCTAGTATTGGCCAAACATTCCAGTGCATACATATTACCTTCAAGTTACTTAATTGGGATTTAACATAGCAAATTGCCTTTTTCTACAAAACTCGGCAGGACCATCATAAAATATAGTCTGGACACTGACGCATGTCTCTACGGAAGACTTTCACCTCCTGAATGGATCCTTAGGAACTACTGTTGCACCAAAGTGTGGCTGTGGTGGTGCCTGAAGTCACCGGCGTCCTGCATTTATACACTTGTCGTGACGTTTTGTGTTACTGGGTTGCATGTGACAGTTGGAGTTGGATTTATGTTACATTGACGAAGGCGTTAAGTATTTTACAGAAACCGATCAGTGATTGCTAAACTTTGGGAGAAAACTGGCAGATCTGTCTGTTTTTCTATCACAGCACTAGCTCTTGGATGTCATCGGTTACTGCTTGCATGGCATCAATCATATCGTTCGTGTTCATAGAGACACGGTCGGTGTGTTTTGGTGAGCCTTGGACATTGCGCTTGTTTTTAGAAATGGACAGCTTCCTGTCGTCTTGGGAAGTTACGGATATGATTATCATGGAACCAACACCATCATTATAATGTCGTTTTGTTTGGTAAACTGCAGGTAGAAAACATAGATTGTTTTGAATGATATGAATGTTAACATAAGTGCTAATGGAGTGAGTTTCTTTGTAGTTGACGTGGCTTGCTAAATGTGTGTGGCAGTTTAACTTCTTATTTTCAGTATTTTTTGTATTAATATATTTTACCTGGATAATCTCTTGAGATAAACATCTTGTTAACAATAGCATAAATTGACATATAGCAAGCACGCAATGACACTTGTACACACATTTGTGTGTTTCTATGATGGAAAACCACAATTACGCCTTTCCGCTTGCTTTGCATGTACCTAGGTGATGCTCGCTGTGTAACATGCATGTAAGCACATTATTCGTTAATCTGTGATGTATGAATTGTTGCACGCAAAGGTTAAAGGTGTTTACGGCAGCACAGCGTCTTGGGAAATGCGCACGGGTACCTCGCTAGCTTCATCAGAGCGAATATGCAGCGCGTGCACAGCGGCCCCATGAAGCACGCAAGCCTGAGGGGCTCATTACGTAAACATTTATATTTTTGATGAGTACATGGGTCGTCAGTACAGGTCATCTGGCCGAGTGGCGCTGCTGCGATAGGAGTGCTTAACTCATGTTTGGGAGGTTGTTGGTGAGAACCACAGTTGTGAACATAGCCGTGTTCAGTTAAATTTCCACGGGGCCTTTGCTATCACATGGAGCATGTTTGCCAACCGTCGTGACCCACTGTGTACATCACTTGTGTTGTTTTTTTATCAATGCGCTTTGCTGAATGTGAGTGCGGGAGTTCCAGGGTAAAATGAAATGTGAAATATCCAATACAGTATGGGAATGATTGTAGAGTGCGCGCTACGTGGCAGGATGAGCACCATGACTGCTTGTATCATTAATTTTCTCGTGCTTAAGGAAGCGACACGTTGGTTTGTTACAGTGGTTTGTCTCTCGAAGCTCTGGAGGGCATCTTCTCTTGCAAAGATTTATATAACGCCTAAATCCAAGGCGCTTTACAGCAATTATAATATTGTACATAAGATGGTGGTTAAAATAAAGAGTGGGGTTATAAAAAGTGGTGTCATTGTAGTGACAGGAGGACAGGTGGGAGTGGTTATGGAGACGTTGGGGGAAGGCCTGGTCGTACCTGGGGAGTGGTGGCAGGAAGTAGCAGTAGGGGTAGTGAGTGGTGGGGGTTGAGGAAGGCCTGGTCGTACCTGGGGAGTGGGGGCAGGGAGTAGCGCTAGGATTTGCAAGGGAAAATAGGTGAATTTTAAGGGTTGAACGGAAGGTCAGTGAAGATGATTGTTGTATGTGCATTGGGAATTTGTTCCAGTGAAGGGGAGCAAGAAGGGAAAATTAACGAAAGCGTGACTGGGCGGAGGGCGAGGGAGGCACAGAGAGGGGAGGGCCAGCAGAGATTGGGAGCAGGGAGAAGGGGATGGGACAGAGTAATAAGATATGAGAGAAGCAAGATGAGATGGAGCAAGGCGACAAAAGGATGTATAGACTAGAGTCTTTTAGGCTGTGCTTTGTTTACATGAATCGTTTGTGTCTTGTTTTGGTTTATAGTCTTGGTGTCGTTTTGTTTGCATTTTTCCCTTACAAAATATATCTGAGCTAAGAACATTGTTGCGAGTTGTATTATTTCTGAAATTGTTAATGTGTTTATAATCGTGATAATATTGTCTGTTATTTATCCAGGAAATCCTCGCAGATTTTCAAGACCCTTTTTCAGAATGATCCTGCTTTGGGGTGTATGACCAATTATTTTTTCGAGTGTATTTTCATCAGGGAAGAAACTGGCATGGCTCGAGGAAACCAGCACATAAAATAGAACAGTTTTAGGTTGCTCAACCATCACAGCTGCTCCAAGCAGTGCTGTATAATTTTGTTCACAGCTTGCTAGGAGCCCTGCCTATGATTACCCCTCCATTTTAACTGTCTGCGGTATCGTCAAACTACGTGATTACTGCTCACCGCGTGACCCTGGGATACAGCATTGGAACCAAGACCCTGATGCCACCTTCAGGTTGAATAGTGTAGTGGTGTGAATCGCCTGTTTGAGAAGGATTCTAGGAGTTTCTAAACCTCAAACTGAAATACCATGAAATAAGGAAATCTCTGGCAGTGAAAACAAACTTTATGGAGATGAGGTAAAGACTGCAGTGATACAGACACGTTACGACGAGTGTTTAGCAATGCTGCACACAAGTAGAGGAAACGGGAGGCAGAGAGACGCAGAGGGGGTGTTGATTGGGCCCAATTGTCCCAGGACATATGATGATGGTTCCAAAGGCCTGGTGGTCGCAGTGGCTCAGTAGGTTGGCAACCTTCCAGGAGTAAATCATGTGTTTATACCTAGACAAGGTTTACTAGAGCATCGTCATCGTATAGCATTGGAAAAGCAACTGAAAGAACATTTTAGCTGAGTGGCAATCACTTTGATTGCATCAGGAGTTGCTTGGTGTTGAGCGTTTCTACCTCCTGTGTGACCATGCAATGGACAGTGGTCAAGTGAACATCACTTGACGAGGTTTATGAGAAGTATTAAATTTAAGCCAAGCTTTACAAATGTGGCATTACTCCCGAGTAACTCAAAACCCATAACCATTGACCTTTTTCGTTTGAATGTCCGTGTATTTGGAGTCAATTTTCTTTTGTGCTCTGACATGTTACAATACTTTTTTTAAGTAAATTATCAATTATGTGATGAGTTCAGACAACTGCCTAGCATGCTTAGTGGTCTACAGTGGAATGTTCACTTTGACACACAACAGGTAATAGCCATTGGGGAAGTGCTTTTCAGTTATGGGAAGGTATGACAGTTACATGAAGATGTATATGAATTATTTTGAAGTTCTCACATTACTAAAAGTAAGAATAACACAGTTTTGCAGGACCGGTCACTGCCTGGAACGAAGTAAAAATCTGTTACATTTCTGCAGTTCCAGTAATCTCTGCTCATCATCCCTTTCATCATTCAGAAATGCAATGCTTGACATTTGGCAAAATACATTTCCCTGCATATATTATTTCCTTCTCCGTAGACTGTTTCGTGAAGAAAGTTTCAATTTTAAGATGAATCATTAAAATGTGTTATGCAGGAGAAGCACGGTAGTACCGTGGGTGTCGGTGCATCGTGCTCGATGGGAAAAGCCCCCTGGCTAAAAGGGGTGGCATCTTGGGAACTGAAAATAATTCTCATTAAGATTTAAAATTAAAAACACAAAATGGACACATTTCCTGCACCGACATTAAAGTGTTAAACCCTTTGATTAGCTCATAGTTGTAATGCACCAATTCATTTGCTCACATTTCATAATAAACAATTTAAAATGAAGGACCTGTTGCCTGTGTTTTATAGGACATTTAAGGCATGTAAAGGTTTTTGTTTTAATATAACCAGGATTGCCTCATTGAGTTTGAATACTCCATTTAGGATTGTAAGCGTAATGGGCTTGAATTGACATTCATGGCACATAATCACAGCTGTTGACAGCTGATTGCAGTGGCCTCATGTTTGATTGTAGAGTTTACATGCTGGAGATATGCAGGGAATTTGTCAATCGTTCACTTGAAACTCTGCTTGTGTGGTGATTTCATAAGAAAACATTGAAGAGTTTGGGAGCACAATAAAAGTCAGTGGTGAACAGCAGCCTCACTCAGCTGACATCATTCCTGGTGCTTATTTACTATTGACCAGAATGTAAGCCAATAGTCTGCGCGCCTTCAACGGAGGAGGAGGAATCGCAAAAGTACACGAACTATCTCCCCTGAAGCCCTCGTGATGAACAGATCTTAACATTGGCATTTGGTTCCTGAACGGATTGCAGCCATCATAGCCAAGAATATAATTTAATACAGAGTTCAAGAGGGCCACTGGCGGTCTCTTTTTTAACACGGTTGTTGAGCTGAAGCCCAAAAGGTCAAGTGGCCAGTAACAAGCAGCAGTATCAAGGTTGTACAAGGTCAAGAGTCGACACGTTCTTGAATTGAGCTTCAGAAATGAGAATGGGAGGGACTTTCAAAGTCGTGCAGTTTGAGGGAAATGGCCAAAGGGTAAGTGTCACATATAAGAAGAGACCAGACTATATATTGATTTGAAGCTTTCGTGACTGCAGGGATCCATACTCTTTGGTTCTTTCGGTAAAGTCACGTAGGTAGACAAAAATATAAATCACGACGTTTCGGGCGCAACACAAGCGTCCGAGCAGACCATGCTTTCCCACCTGATGGCGGACGCTTGTGTTGTGCCCGAAACGTGATTTATTTTATTTTATACCTACCACGTGACTTTACCGAAAGAACCAAAGAGTGTGGACTATAAATTTTGAACTTCTTTTCAACCTTACTAATCGGAGGTACCTGGGTATGAGAATCGATGCTATTTTGCCATCTCATCGACCACCTCGGCAACCAAACTGTTGCGTCTCAAACGCGTGCCACTGCACTTAGCCCTGTGCAAGAGTTCATCACGTTACCAAAAAGTTACGTCCCCCTGATGAGGACCCATATCTCAGAGGTTCTAGATTTGAAGCTTTCGTGACTGCAAGGATCCATACTCTTTGGTTCTATTCGGTAAAGTCACGTAAAAGTATAAAACAAAAAAATTCACGACGTTTCGGCCACAACACAAGTGGCCTTCATCAGGTAAAGGGACCAGACTCTCGAGGACAGCGCTGGAGTGAACACAGCCAAGCTCAGACCGCGACCTTTAAGCTTGTGTGAGAGGAATTAAGATGCCTTGACAAAGGAATCAGCATAAAAATTAGCGTTTAATTGGCGGACTTAGCATGGTGAACGGTGTAGAGGGGGTGAACATGTGCAGACCGGCGAGGGGGGGAGGGGGAGTTTACATATTGATGGTGTGAAAAGGGAATTTAAGCAGCTGCGAAAGTTTGGCATCCCACTACTTGAAAAAATATACTGTACCATTGAAAATTAGTTTAATGGTTGGTTCGATTTAGAACATCTTTCCAATGGTTGCTTAATTTGAAACCATCTTCTCGGTTGAAATTGTGTCTGTGTTTGTAGATCTGAATTGCCTCGTGAACAAATCTCTGATTTAAAAAAAAACCCTGTGGGTTTGCAAAGAACCTTGGTATCGGAGAAAATTATATCGTGATCACCCACAGCGTTGTAACAGTGATCAGCTACGGCAGAAGAATTCGTTCTGTCGTATTTCAAATCTGATTTGTGCTCGCGAATTCGGTCAGAGACATGTCGTTTCGTCTCCCCAATATAGTAGTCACCACAGGTGCAGATCAATCTGTAAACTCCGGGGTACTGTAAGTCAGGAATGACATCCTTCACGGAAGGGATCAGGTCACGGATTTTTGTGTACTGTATTGAACCGGACCAGGATCTTGTGTTTGTTTAGAATTTTGGAGATCTTTTTTAGTAACGCCTGCTATAAATGGCAGTGTGATGGTTTTGATCGGAGTATCAAGTGGTTGTTACTGTATGGAGGGAGAAACAGCTTGGCGGATGGTATGGTCAGAGTATCCATTCCTTTTGAGGGGTAGATGCACATGTTTAAATTCACTGGTCAGGTGGTGTTGGCCCGAAATGCAATGAGCCCTGTGGTATAACGTTTTGATGAGATAATTATTTTGCCTCGGGTGGTGGTGGTAATCAGGTTTCAAGTAGGAATCAGTGTGGGTGGGTTTCCTGTAGACAGAATGTCCCAATGAGCCATCAGGTCTCCTCTCAAACAGAACATCCAAGAATGGCAGCTTGCCATCCTTCTCCACTTCCATGGTGAATTTGATGGCGGGGTGTCTGGAATTAATGTGGTCTAGGAAAAGGTTCAAAGCCGGGAGGCCATGTGGCCAAATGACGAAAGTGTCGTCTACATATCTCTTCCACAGGGAAGGTCTGAGGGTGGAAGTCTGGATGGCGTCTGATTCAAATTTCTCCATGAAAATATTGGCTATCACTGGTGACAAGGGGGATCCCATGGGGGTACCCTCATTTTGTTTGTAGAAGGAGCCATTCCAAGTAAAGTAGGTATTGTTGAGGCAGTGCCTAACCAGTGCAGGTGTATCGAGGTCTAGTCCATGTTGGACCAAATTTTCAATGATTTCAATGGTATCAGGTACTGGGACCTTGGTGAACAAAGAGACCACATCGAAGCTGACAAGGATAACGTCAGGGGACAGTACAACGTCTTTGACCATAGAGACCAATTGGGCTGAGTTAAGTACTGCTGAGGCGGTCTTGCCAGTGAAAGGCAGCAAGGTATCTGACAGAAAACGGGCTAGTCTATAGGTAACAGAGTTGATCGTGGATACGATGGGTCGTAGTGGGGTGCCTTCTTTATGAATCTTGGGAAGACCATAGAATCTAGGGGATCTTGCAGCAGAATGTTTTAGGGAGGGACGTTTAGTTGGGTCGATTAGGAAGGTCGAACTTGTGATGATCTTGTTGGTTTTTATCGCTAGGCTATTAGTAGGGTCATTTTTTATTTTTGAGTAACTTCCATCGTTGAGCAGATTCTGGATTTTGTTGTTGTATGAATCTTTATCCATAATTACAGTAGCATTGCCTTTATCGGCTGAGAGGATGACTATGTCACGTCTGTTTTTTGAATTCGCGAGTTCAGAGCGTTCATTTTTGCTGATGTTGCTAATGGGTTTCTTAGCATTCTTAAGAATAGTGGCTATTTCAGCTCTCGCAACGTCTGCTTGGATGTGTCCTACGGCTTTGAGGGCTACATCGACCTGAGAGATGATATCATCTACTGGTATGTGTTTTGGGGTGACAGCAAAATTTATCCCCCTAGCCAGGACTGTTTTCAGATTGTCCGAAATCGGGGTGCTACTCTGATTAATGACGATTTTGTTGACGTCTAGTTTTGTTATATGTGGAACTAACTGTGTTCTTTGATAGGTGGTTGAATTTAGAAATCAGGTTTGCTTTGCATTTGACTGACAGTGAATCAGCAGAAGAAGCAGTCATGTTGTCTACGTGATTCCAATCAGAAGGTGACATTTTTTGTATTAACATTAAATGAGCTCGTAGGAGAGTCCTGTCTAAAGTACCGAGTTCAAATCGGAGTAGCCTTATCCTCTGAGATTAAAGATAGGCTGGCCTTAAACAGAATCTGTTTAGAATTCAGCGAAGATACAGCAGCAGAAGTGAGTGTGAAAGCGATGGGTATTACCTTGTGATCGCGGCATCTTTTGAGGATGGTCAGCGTCTCGATGAGCTATGACTTCTTGTCCCGTTGTCTGTTAAAAGCTCTAACAGATAGGTGAAAGCCCTCCCCGTAGAGGTGATTAATTCTATATTTGAAGCTTTCGTGACTGCAAGGATCCATACTCTTTGGTTCTATTCGGTAAAGTCACGTAAAAGTATAAAACAAAGAAAAAATTCACGACGTTTTGGCCACAACACAAGTGACCTTCATCAGGTGAAGGGACCAGACTGTCTCGAGGACAGCGCTGGAGTGAACACAGCCAAGCTTAGACCTCGACCTTTAAGCTTGTGTGAGAGGAATTAAGGTGCCTTGACAAAGGAATTAGCATAAAAATTACCATTTAATTGGCGGACTTAGCATGATGAACGGTGTAGAGGGGGTGAACATGTGCAGACCGGCGAGGGGGGGAGGGGGAGTTTACATATTGGAATTTAAGCAGCTGCGAAAGTTTGGGATACCACTACTTGAAAAAATATACTGTACCATTGAAAATTAGTTTAATGGTTGGTTCGATTTAGAACATCTTTCCAATGGTTGCTTAATTTGAAACCATCTCAGTTGAAATTGTGTCTGTGTTTGTAAATCTGAATTGCCTCGTGAACAAATCTCTGATAAAAACCCGTGGGTTTGCAAAGAACCTTGGTATCGGAGAAAATTATATCGTGATCACCCACAGCGTTGTAACTGTGATCAGCTACGGCAGAAGAATTCGTTCTGCCATGTTTCAAATCTGATTTGTGCTCGCGAATTCGGTCAGAGACATGTCGTTTGTTCACGAGACAATTCAGATTTACAAACACAGACACAATTTAAACCGAGAAGATGGTTTCAAATTAAGCAACCATTGGAAAGATGTTCTAAATCGAACCAAACATTAAACTAATTTTCAATGGTACAGTATATTTTTTCAAGTAGTGGTATACCAAACTTTCGCAGCTGCTTAAATTCCCTTTTCACACCATCAATATGTAAACTCCCCCCTCCCCCCCCTCGCCGGTCTGCACATGTTCACCCCCTCTACACCGTTCACCATGCTAAGTCCGCCAATTAAATGCTATTTTTTTGTATTTATGCTAATTCCTTTGTCAAGGCACCTTAATTCCTCTCACACAAGCTTAAAGGTCGTGGTCTGAGCTTGGCTGTGTTCACTCCAGCACTGTCCTCGAGACAGTCTGGTCCCTTCACCTGATGAAGGCCACTTGTGTTGTGGCCGAAACGTCGTGAATTTTTTTGTTTTATACTTTTACGTGACTTTACCGAATAGAACCAAAGAGTATCGCAGAGGTTATTTTTCTATAAACGTCTGGCAGTTCACTAGTATTGGTTTAAGCAAGCCCCTGACTGCTGATGAGACACTGAACGTGGAAACTGGTCCAGAGTTTGCTTCGATGAAATCAAAGCTGCTAATGTGAATAATTTGCAGAAAGCCGTGTGGCTGACGTGATGTGTAAAAAAATACTTAAATTTTCTGTGTGGAGGGGCAGATATCATTCGGAGACGGCTTGCCTGATTATTTATTATCTTGCTTGCATTCTCCACAGTGACGCTAATTCTTATTTTGTGTTAATAACCAAACCGTAGCACAGTGAGAGGATTTTGCTCTGGATTGTGTGTCGTCTGTTTCTCATTAAATCTGTCCATGATACACTTGTTTGCATGTGGAAGTTAATGAATAGCCCACGCCCCCTGTGCTGGAATTTGCTGATGAAGCAGCACCCATTGAGAGCCTTTGGGAGCAGGGGGAGAGGCACAGACGGCGTTTGACGACGACGACATCGCGGAGTCTCCGCTACGTCTGCCACTGCTCTTCTTGTCGAGGTGGTGAGTGAGTGCACCACGCATGGCTGAGCAGTGTTGAGAATTGTACTTTTCAAATGTGACCACTTCATAATACAGGTTTTTTTTGGGTTAGCGTAAATGTGTTGTTAAACCCGCCACCACCCGACAGCCAATTAGTAAGGTCACGTAAACAGAACATGCCAATTCATCACTAGTACAGCACACCGATGTGTTGGATAGCAAAGCCACAACATTTACAATCTGAGTACGACGTTTCGCCAGTAATTACAACTAGCTTCATCAGGCGACAGACAGATTTGTGGAGGAATCCTGTTTCATTCCTTAAATAGAGGGGTATATATGATGACATCACTTGTGAGCCCTTCAGTTCCCGATCACTGGTTTCACTAAAAGCCAAAGTGTGCTTGTGCTCAAGTGGGTCCTTGGGTCAATGCTTATCTCCACTCGTGGCTATGCAGATCTGGTGGTAGAAATTCCACATTACCATTATATTTGTTTCTTATCTGACAAACTTGCCCTAGACCAAGGATTCGACTGTGCACGTTTGTGGTGTTGCGGCCAGCCTTACCGAAGTTATGTCATTTTGCGTGCAGCAATAATCCGATTACATACTTTATTTTACCTTCAAGATTACTTTCGTCAAATGAAAATACGGTTCACGCAGTTGATTTCCCCAAGGAAACAATTATTATACCGGCAGAGTGGCTCACAATTGGAAATTAAGTTAAAACCCCTGGTTGGGGGTTGACTCAGCCCATTAGTGCTGTAACTCAATTAACGCACGGTTTACCTAAAATGCGGTTCTTCCATTAGGTAACAGCGCGGAACGCGTCCCCCTTCTTTAACGCAATTTCTGAGCGGTCGATGACGAACTACTTTCTTGGGCTGCGCATCTGAGCGGTGCAGTGATGTAATAATGTGGCGGTGTACCCTCAGTTATTTGTCCCGCCATCTTACTGTGTGTGCGTACATTGTATCTCGCCATTATTTATGGGGAGATCTCTTCGCTTAAGGGGCCGTCCATAAAGAACGTCACGCGATTTTGGGCGTGTAACACAGCGACACAAAAAGTCCGACCCCCCTCAAATATGACGTCACAAAGCTGCCCACCCCCCCAAAACCATATTTCCATTTTGAAAATAAAACATGTTTCAAATCACTTTAAACTATTGTCATTGTAGTGCGTATTTAGCGTGGCGCTGCAATCTGATGTAGGAGAAAACATTTATTAAAAAGGAGGCGTTGGAAAGCTGAAATTTAGCATACAATGCACTTCAAAGTATTCAACGTCGAACTAAAACTGCAGATGTTCAGAATATTAAATTTAAATTCTCTTATAATTATAAAATATTAAAAGTAATTATAACTATAAAAAATACTTGAAACTTTGTAGTAGAACGAAGCAAAATGGAGCGTACAATGATAACAATCACATTCATTTCACAGAATGAAAAGCCCTGGTAGAATCATTAGAATCAAAATGTTTAATAAAAATAATTCAAAAAATGTACAAAACTTATGCTTCTCCATTCTCCCATGCAGAAGCAAAATGCTCCTTCATGGAATAAATAAAAGGTGACCTCAGTAAATTTAAATAATCAAATAGTTAATAATGAAAATTTATCAAAATTGGTGTTGTTATAACAATTCTATTTGATTAATATTCATTTAAAGTTTGCGCATTTTGATGTGACGTCACATTTCTCAAACCCCCCATCCCCCCCTCGTCACACATCGTCACATATGTCTGACCCCCTTCCCCCCCCCTAGGTGCGTGACGTCATTTATGGACGGCCCCCAATGCGATTTTCACTTAATGCTTATACCGTGTTAAACAAAGACTTACTGCTTCGATTTGTGGGGAAGTAAAGTGTTGTCCTATGGATAGACCTGAACTCTTCATAGTAATGTGGAATTCCCACCACTGGCTCAGGGCTGGAAAAAAAAGATTCGAGCAGAAAATCACTGTGACTTGTTTCTCTGTAGGATTGGTCGCCTTATATAAGCATCAGCTGCTGCTATCCTCAGTGTTACCGAATTGTTGGGTGAATGGCAGGACAATGGTAATGGTTTTGTTCGACAGTGTAGCAAGGATAAGATAATGTAATTGACGAGTAAGGTAAGGGCTGGGATCTGATTGGTCAGCGTGGTTAGGGCTAGCATCTGATTGGCCCGTATGCTGATCCCAATGAGGCCCACATCGCCCTCCTCTCTGCCCATTCCAGTGCCGCCGTTGGGCTTTGCCATCGACATGAGCTTGCCGGCGCCCGTGTGCCTGGACGACTTCGAGGAGGCGGCGCGGGCAAAGCTTCCGCGCGCCGTTTACGATTACTACCGCTCCGGGGCCGACGGCGAGGTCACGCTCCGGGACAACGTGGCGGCCTTCTCCAGGTGGAGGAGTGCCGCTCATCCTTCAGACAGCCCAGAGAACATACGCTCCGTGATAAACAATGCCATGCATACGCAAACACGTAAAGCACTGAGTGGGGCAACACACTCCTGCTGCTGTACAAAGCACAAGTTTGAATGAAGTTGAAACACTTGTCGTGTCTGATCGCGTGAGCGTCCCTCATTGCTTCCTCCACCCATGATGAGGGCTACCTGACACTGATCGTTTCGTCTGATCCACGCTGTGTCCAACCGCCGCCAACACTGCAGGTCACAGCAACACACTCCTTCACCCACCCACTCACACACTCACCCACCCACTCACACACTCACCACACTGCAGGTCACAGCAACACACTCCTTCACCCACCCACTCACACACTCACCCACCCACTCACACACTCATCACACTGCAGGTAACAGCAACACACTCCTTCACCCACCCACTCACACACTCACCCACCCACTCACACACTCACCACACTGAAGGTCACAGCAACACACTCCTTCACCCACCCACTCACACACTCACCCACCCATTCACACACTCATCACACTGCAGGTCACAGCAACACACTCCTTCACCCACCCACTCACACACTCACCCACCCACTCACACACTCACCACACTGCAGGTCACAGCAACACACTCCTTCACCCACCCACTCACACACTCACCCACCCATTCACCCACTCACCACACTGCAGGTCACACCACTTCTGTATCTGCTTCTTTCCTCGCTCTTCTCCACTCTGGAATTCTCTACCATCGTTTCTTTTCCCAAACTCTTATATTAACCTCACTCAATTCAAGAAACTTGTTAACTCAACTATTGCAACGTTGATAATAGTGATGTAATGGGCCTTTGGACCCTGTATACAGTAACTTAAAAATATATTATTATAATATTATTTTTCTACCTACGTAACTTTATCGAGAGATCTCCCCATAAATAACGAAAGCTTCAAATTAAGATTAAAAAATATATTCAGTCACTCACTCGCTCAATCAGGCACTCTCCGACACGCTCACTCGCTCACCTCGCTGCTTGCAGGGAAAGGCTTGCAATTTGACACCAGCAATTTGACACCAGCAGTGAAGTTGAAATCTCGCGACCTCCCGCGCTATCCGACGCGCAGGTGGCGGCTGCGGCCGCGTGTGCTGCGTGGGGTCACCACGGTGGACACTCGCGTCTCGGTGCTGGGCCGCTCGCTCAGCTTCCCCGTGGCCGTGGCGCCGACGGCGATGCAGCGCATGGCCCACCCGGACGGGGAGCTGGCGACGGCGCGTGGTGAGCGCCCGTGCAGGCATTGCCGGTCGTTGTCGTCATCGCCATCGCTTCAGCCATCGTCGTGGCAGTACAGCAAGTAGATTCATTTCCATCTGTATTCCATTTGTACAGTGACGGGGTGTTACCCCTCTCACACGTGTTTTTTTTTTCCCGCGTACGCTGGTATCCTCCTACAAGTAATACACGTGAGTAGGTTGGATAGCACAGTTGGCTAAATATGTTACTAAAGAAGTTCAACATACAGAAGTAAACATCCCAATACAGGACCACAGTGCTTGGGCAATTGTTGGTGCTGCTTCTGGTTGCCGATCAGCTTGTCTGTGGATTCTCACACCTGGATCATTCTCCCTCAGAGTGAGCAAAAACATTCTAAATCATCATTGTTATTGTTGATATCAATTACTGATGCTGGTCAAGAAGGTTGCGAATTCAGATGCTGGTCAGAGGTTGTCGACTCGGTCCTTCCTTTCTGTGGCGTACCCACAGCGCCCGCTCCCAGGTGGGCTCCTGCCCTGGTAGTGCCAGGGACACCGTCTGGCCGGGGGGGTGGGCAGAGCCCCTTGAGAGTGGGCACTGTGGGGGACGTCGTGATAACCGCCGCTCCATTGTCTCCGCGGTCCCTGCAGCGTGCGCTGCGCTCGGCACGGGCATGCAGCTGAGCTCGTGGGCGACGGCGAGCGTGGAGGAGGTGGCGGCCGCCGTCCCGAGCAGCGGCGCCCCCCCTCCTGTGCGCTGGCTGCAGCTCTACGTGTACCGGGACCGCGACGCCACTGAGGCGCTGGTGCGGCGCGCGGAGCGCGAGGGCTATGGCGCCATCTTCCTCACCGTCGACACGCCGCGGCCCGGCCGGCGCCTTGCCGACGAGCGCAACCGCTTCTCCATGCCCGATCACCTGCGGTACTCAGAGGGGGCGGGGGTGGCATGGGCGGGAGGCACTGGGGGCACTGCCGGCAGGCTCGAGGGGGACTCGCAAGAAGGGGAGTCGTGGTCGGGTGGGGGGGTCATCGATGTGCAAAAATTGCTCATAGGAGTTGGCATTCTTAAATTGTCATTGTTAAGTTGTCATCGCCGGCAACTTTGAATAAACATTGTCATCATTATCACCATCGTCATAATTATTGTCATTATCTGCTACATTTACAGCAATTATCTTCTTGGGAGACCTAGGCCAAATGGTGGGAGACTGTCAGGGCAGATCTTGGAGGTCTATTGTCAACTGCCCAACAGGTGTTGCATCAGTTGGCTCTGGCCAAATGACGACATCTTGGTTTTGAGAATCATTGGTGAGCAACCGCATTACCAGACACACCGCACTCACTTATGTACCTACAATAGGCCCTTGTCGTGACAGAAGTGACTGGGCAAGTAAAATTTGAAACACGTTTTCAAGTTGAAAATATTCTCATTGAGTACCTGATTAGTGTGGCTTAGATGTTTGCGGTGACTAATAAATAAACCCACTTGGCCTGAAGGAAGCTTAAAGGATATCAGGCGACCCTAATGACATATAACGTTTGATTAACCAGACTGCTGCTGATTTGCATTCTACTACTGCTGCTGCGAGTCTCCAGTCAGCGACGTGCACCATTGCACGCTGTGAGCGGTACAGCTACACTCACGGCTAACGTTAACCGTCGTGTTACGCTCCCGCACTGGTGAAGTCACGCACGTGCCCGTCATACTGCAGATACATTTAAAGTATGAATTTTAATCGTGCCTGCAAAAATCTCAATTCCAAGTTTGCAAGGCGTTTTGACATCGGAGGCCTTGTGTTGGCGAGGGCCGTGTGAATTCAAGTCTTAGGTTCCCCTTTACTTAGCACGTGCATTCGCTCCAAGTCAGGCGGTGGTTTCATTGTTTGCAGAATGCAGCGTTGTCCTCGGATCACTGCTGATCTCCGTTAGTGGGCACGGTATTCAACAACGTGTGCCACCCTCTGTACAGCTCGGCAGCTCGGGTTGTCGCGTGAGCCCCACTGGTGCAGGCTCGCCGCACACAGGGGGCCTCGGAGCCCCCACGGGTGAGCGTCGCGCTGTGCTCGCCCCCCCCCCCACCCAGGCTGGCCAACTTCACGTCGCCCGAGCTGTCGGAGTTGGACAAGCAGAGTGGCGGAGGCGGGTCTGGGCTCGCGACGTATGTGACGCGCGCCATCGAGCCGGGCCTCAGCTGGGAGCACGTGTCGTGGCTGCGCTCGCTCACCGCCCTGCCCGTGGTGCTCAAAGGCATCCTGACAGGCACGCGGCGCCTGACATGGGTGGGGGGCCACCATCGATGCGGGCGGAAAATGCCCACAAACGACGGGGCCATGGCTGGGGTGGCAGTCGTGAACATCAGCATCGTTGTCATCGTCGTCATCACTGTCATCAGCGTAGTCATAATGGTCAATATCAATATTTATCACTGCCGTCATCGTTTCACCAATGCGTTAGCAAATATCTACATTGTGACGCTGATCATTATTGCTGCACTGTGCACCACGTGTGTGTGCACTGCGTGTGTGTACACTGTGATCTGCTGTGTATGTGGCCTCGTGGTGCACATAACCTGGCACAAGTGTTGTAGTGACGTCACCTTCGCTTAGTGGCGGATCGTGGTTATTGGTGCTGCCGCTGTTGTTTGTTCTGAGCAGCCGAGGATGCGAAGGAGGCGGTACGACATGGAGTCAACGGCATCGTGGTGTCCAACCACGGCGCTCGGCAGCTGGACGGAGTCGCAGCCACAGTGAGTAACACCACTCACTCAGGTAACATAGATAAACATTACTCACTCGTTCACTCCATCATTCGCTCCATCACACAATCATATTTATTATCGTCCACTCCCTCACATAATGACAAAATCCATCATTCAGTCACTCATTCACTCTTGCGCTCACTTGGTTGAAACATTGAATTCTGTGTGTGCATCAGCCAGGCGCAGCAGATAGGTGGCAGTGGAGGATCGTGTTTGCACTGCCTCCTTTACGTTTGGCCTTATGTATCGGTGCCCAAGTTCTTTTCATCTTGGAGCACCGCCTTTTTTGAAGAGGGCTCAAATGTGAACTTCACACCTCGATGATAACCCTCCCTCAAAACGTGTAACTCTGGCAATCAGCGTAGATCACCAGGCACCGTCTTTCAGACTCATTAATTGACACCCTTGCAAGTGAGATATTCCATCTCTCGCAGAGGAAAACCATTTAATAAAGTTCCCCTCCACTGCCCCCTGTGCCCCGCGACCAGCTGGACGCGCTGCCCGAGGTGGTGGCGGCGGTGGGCGGGCAGGTGGAGGTGTACCTGGACGGAGGCGTGCGCCGTGGCACCGACGTGCTCAAGGCCCTGGCGCTCGGGGCCCGTGCCGTGTTCGTCGGGAGGCCCGTCGTGTGGGGTCTCGCGTACAATGTAACCCCCACCCCTACCCCCTCCCCGCTCCCCATTTATACCCCTTTTCTCGAAGCTTCACTCAAGTTCTGCTTTGGCTGGGACAGATTCGCTTTCTGGGAAGTCTGTCCCAGTGTCCCCCATGAGGTGTTTGCACAAAGTTTGACATTTTCTTGCCGGTTTTTAAGTTTTCTGACCTCGTGCTGGAGTCACGCTACGGGGATAGGGGTGGGGCTACATGAGAAGAGCGCCTCTCTGGTCATGGAGTTGGTGGGGCCTGCGAGTGGTGGCGCACGTGGCCTGGAGTCCAGCGAGGGTTGGTGGATCGCACAAATGTTGTGAAACTCCCTTCCCATGTCCATCGAGGTGCCATACCCTGACTCGCCAGGAGAAGGCAGTACAGCAAGTTCACTAATGGTCATCTGCTTCCATCTGTTATGGGATAGAGTGTTGCTCCCTCACATGTGTGGGTTTTTCTCTGGGTGCTCTGGCATCCACCAAGGTATAAACTCATCATTAATTGGCTGAAAACAGCTTAAAATCATAAAACGACTCAGTGTGGCTCTCCTGGATAAATAAGTATTATTATACTATTATAACATTTGAAAGAGCGAGTAGAAGGCCACTCACTACCGTGTGGGTGAGTGCTCGTGGCTGACTAGGCGTGGCTATGTAAAAGTGGGCAGGGCTAATAGAGGGAGGAGATGAGTGATAGCTTTTCCCTCTCTCCACCTCCCAGCTACTAAGTCTTTTTCTAAGGCCCAAGAGGCCACTCGAAGAATGTGAAATAGTCTTTGCTGCCTTTCCATTTGCACTGTATGTTTAAAAACACATTTTGTTTATATGGAGGGACGGATATGGGAAAGAGCTGGATTGTCTGCTAAGTTGTCTGCTAAGTTATTGATTTACTTATATTTTCAATAAAGTAAATTATTATATTTTGTTATATAATAGGGGTGGTTGTCTAGGAACATTGGGCAGTTCACCAGCATTGGTTCAACACAAGCAAATTCTGTACCAGTTTCAACATTCAGTGTCTCATCACCAGAGTCATTCTTGCTTGAAGCAATGTTGATGAACTTCCAAATATTTATAGGAAAGGAACCCCATCTGTTAAATATGGGTTATAGTTCAATGTAAAACTATACAGTATAGAATACGTAACACAGATATCGGAAAGAGGTCAATTGTCTGCTTATTTGGTTGCTTCTATTTCCTCCGACGAGGCAAATTATAGTATTGTATCTGTGATGTGGACAGACCTGGCCGACGTGACGCTGTCTCTCGTTCTCTCGCTCTCTCGCTCGCTCTCTCTTGCTCGCTTTCTTGCTCACTCTCTCACACTCACTCTCTTACACTCACTCTCACTCACTCTCTCTTGCGCTCTCACGCACGCTCTCTCGGGCGTGCTCTCTCGCATTCGCTTTCTCGCTCGCTCGCTCTCTCACTCTCTCTCTCGTGTTCGCTGTCTCGATCGCTCTCTCACTCTCTCGTGCTCGCTGTCTCGATCGCTCTCTCACTCTCTCTCGTGCTCGCTGTCTCGCTCGCTCTCTCACTCTCTCTCGTGCTTGCTGTCTCGCTCGCTCTCTCGGGCCGGCTCTAACCCTGGCTGCTGGATCGAGTCCCTGGTCTCCCGTGGGTCCCCTGACCCAGTGCATGCAGCTGCGGACCCCATTAGGGCCGCCAGAGCGATATTCCTCGTGTTGCGAGCGTTTTATCACGCGAGGAGTCGCCAAATAGAGGCATTGGGAGGAGTTTATCAGCGGAGGGGAACGTTGCCCGATTGGCACAGCGTGCTTCTCGGGGTCGCGAGCCCCAGACCGAACGGCTCGTGACCCCGAGAGGGAACTATGACTGAAAGTAAAGTTTGGAGAGAAAATTATCTCTTGCGTTGCACTGGCAGTGATACAACCTCGACTGTTTTATGCTTTCCTACCGACCCTGTGTAAGACGCATTTCGCGGAGTATTATGTTGATGCTTTAATATTGTTGATGTGATTCTCTTAACTGGACAAACCTGTTATTTTGGTACAAACCGAGTTTGGGTGAAAATTAAGTGGGAAACGAGTAAAGTCAATTGAATTTAACTTAACTCTGTTTGATGATGATGCTGTTTGTTGCTAGCCGATGGACGTGTTTTGGCCCTTGGGCCCTGTGCTCGGCAACTTATTTAAAAAAACGAGTGGTAGTGCCCCACCTCTAGCACTGTATGTGTACGGCCCTTCATCGATCCACTGCTGGATGATGTAAACCTGCAGATGTATTGATGCTTATTGTGGTGGTGGTTTGCTTCAGGGTGAAGAGGGAGTGAAAAAAGTCCTAACCATGATTCGAGAAGAGTTTCTTCTGGCTATGGCTCTTGCAGGTATAGCTACTTCTCAAAACCTACTCACCTACACCCTCTACTCACCTACACCCGTTACTCTACCCCTACTCACCTACACCCCCTACTCACCCCCTACTCACCTACACCCCCTACTCTACCCCTACTCACCTACACCCCCTACTCACCTACACCCCCTACTCACCCCCTACTCACCTACACCTCCTACTCACCTGCACCCTCACACCCCCTGCTCACCTACACCCCCCACTCACCTACACCCCCTACTCACCTACACCCCTTACACCCCCTACTCACCTACACCCTCACACCCCCTTCTCACCTACACCCCTCGCACCCCCTACTCACCTACACCCCCTACTCTACCCCTACTCACCTACACCCCCTACTCACCTACACCCCCTACTCACCCCCTACTCACCTACACCCCCTACTCTACCCCTACTCACCTACACCCCCTACTCACCCCCTACTCACCTACACCCGCTACTCACCTACACCCCTCACACCCCCTACTTGCCTACACCCCCTCACACCCACTACTCACCTACACCTCCTCACACCCCCTACTCACCTACACTCCCTCACACCCCCTACTCACCTATACCCCCTCACACCCCCTACTCACCTAAACCCCCCACACCCCCTACTAACCTACACCCCCTCACACCCCATACTCACCTACACCCCCTCACACCCCCTACTCACCTTTACCCCTCACACCCCCTACTCACCTACACCCCTCACACCCCCTACTCACCTTTACCCCTCACACCCCCTACACCCCCTCACACCCCCTACTCACCTATACCCCCTCACACCCCCTACTCACCTATACCCCCTAATCACCTACACCCTCTACTCACCTACACCCCCTCACACCCCCTACTCACCTACACCCCTCACACCCCCTACTCACCTACACCCTCACACCCCCTACTCACCTACACCTCCTCACACCCCCTACTCACCTATACCCCTCACACCCCGTACTCACCTACACCCCTCACACCCCCTACTCACCTACACCCCTCGCACCCCCTACTCACCTATACCCCTCACACCCCCTACTCACCTACACCCTCACACCCCCTACTCACCTACACCTCCTCACACCCCCTACTAACCGATACCCCCTCACACCCCCTTCTCACCTACACCCCTCGCACCCCCTACTCACCTATACCCCTCACACCCCGTACTCACCTACACCCCTCACACCCCCTACTCACCTACACCCCTCACACCTTTTCTAGATTTGAAGCTTTCGTGACTGCAAGGATCCATACTCGTTGGTTCTATTCGGTAAAGTCACGTAGGTAAAAAACACAAGTTCGACCTCCCTAATCGAACCAACTAAACGTCACTCCCTAAAACCTTCTGTTGCAAGACCCCCTAGATTCTATGTTCTTCCAAAGAGTCATTAAGAAGGCACTCCACTACGACCCATCGTATCCACGATCAACTCCCCTACCTATAAGCTAGCACGTTTTCTGTCGGATACCTTGCTACCTTTCACTGGCAAGACCTCCTCAGCAGTACTTAACTCAGCCCAATTGGTTTCTATGGTCAAAGACGTTGTACTGTCCCCTGACGATATCCTTGTCAGCTTCGATGTGGTTTCCCTGTTCACCAAAGTCCCGGTACCTGATACCATTGAAATAATTGAAAATTTGGTACAACATGGACTAAACTCCGAGGTACCTACGCTGGTCAGGCACTGCCTCACCAACACCTACTTTACTTGGAATGGTTCCTTCTACAAGCAAAATGAGGGTACTCCCATGGGATCCCCCTTGTCACCAGTGATAGCCAATGTTTTAATGGAGAAATTTGAATCGGACGCCATCCAGACTTCCACCCTCAGACCTTCCCTGTGGAAGAGATATGTGGATGACACTTTCGTCATTTGGCCACATGGCCTCCCAGCTCTGAACCTTTTCCTACACTACATCAATTCCAGACATCCCGACATCAAATTCACCATGGAAGTGGAGAAAGATGGCAAGCTACCATTCTTAGATGTTCTGTTTGAGAAGAGACCTGATGGCTCATTGGGGCATTCTGTCTACAGGAAACCCACCCACACAGATTCCTACTTGAAACCTGATTCCCACCACCACCCAGCTCAAAATAATTATCTCATCAAAACTTTATACCATAGGGCTCATTGCATTTCGGACCAACACCACCTGACCAGTGAATTAAAACATGTACACCTGGCCCTCAAGAGAAACGGATACTCTGACCGTACCATCCGCCAAGCTGTTTCTCCCACCATACAGAAACAACCACTTGATACTCCAGTCAAAACCATCACACTACCATATATAGCAGGCGTTACTAAAAAGATTTCCAAAATTCTAAACAAACACAAGATCCAAGTCCGGTTCAATACAGTACAAAAAATTCGTGATCTGATCCCATCCGTGAAGGATGTCATTCCTGACTTACAGTACCCCGGGGTTTACAAATTGAGTTGTACCTGCGGTGATTGCTATATCGGGGAGACGAAGCGACATGTCTCTGACCGAATTCGCGAGCAGAAATCAGATTTGAAACACGGCAGAACGAATTCTTCTGCCGTAGCTGATCACTGTTACAATGCTGTGGGTGATCACGATATAGTGTTTTCCGAAACCCAGGTCCTCTGCAAACCCAAAGGTTATCATCAGAGATTTCTCCACGAGGCAATTCAGATTTACAAACACAGACACAATTTCAATCGAGAAGATGGTTTCAAATTAAGCAATCATTGGAAAGATTTACGCTATGATATCTCCTTTGCCAGTAGCAAGATATAGTAATAGGTTTTTACCCTTTTATCTGGCACAAAAACTGACACCTTTATACAAGGGATCATGTTTGTAATAACCACAACACAAGCAGTCAAAATGCAAACAAAAAGAGACAACTCTGATAATGATATGCACTGTCCTTTAAATTGATTGGTCCACACCCGAGACAGCTTTTCTTAGAGCCTAGTCTCCACTGGCCTTTTGGCGTCTTCTGGTCCAACACCAGTGGAGACTAGGCTCTAAGGAAAGCTGTTTCGGGTGTGGACCAATCAATTTCAAGGACAGTGCATATCATTATCAGAGTTGTCTCTTTTTGTTTGCATTTTGACTGCTTGTGTTGTGGTTATTGCAAACATGATCCCTTGTATAAAGGTGTCAGTTTTTGTGCCAGATAAAAGGGTAAAAACCTATTACCATTGGAAAGATGTTCTAAATCATACCAAACATTAAACTAATTTCAATGGTACAGTATATTTATCCAGTAGTTATATTCCAAACTTTCACAGCAGCTTATTTCCCTTCAACACAACGCTTGCATTGTCAAATTCCCCTCCCCCCCCGTGTTAAGTGTTCGATCAGCACTTTAAGTGTTCGATCAGCACTTTATGCTAATTCCTTTGTCAAAGCGTTTGGTTCCCTCCCACACAGCTCGAGCAATCATTGAAAGATGTTCTAAATCATACCAAACATTAAACTAATTTTCAATGGTACAGTATATTTATCCAAGAATTGATATACCAAACTTTCACAGCAGCTTATTTCCCTTCAACACAACGTATGCATTGTCAAATTTCCCTCCCTCTTCCCCCCCCCCGTGTTAAGTGTTCGATCAGCACTTTAAGTGTTCAATCAGCACTTTATGCTAATTCCTTTGTCAAAGCGTTTGGTTCCCTCCCACACAGCTTAAAGGATGCGACCTGGCCTGACGTTCTTGATTCCAACGCTGTCTTCGTGACAGCATGGTCCCTTCACCTGATGAAGGCCACTTGTGTTGTGGCCGAAACGTCTTGATTGTTGTTTTTTTTAAATATTTTTTACCTACGTGACTTTATCGAATAGAACCAAAGAGTATACCCCTCACACCCCCTACTTACCTACAGCCCCTCACACCCCCTAACTCACCTACAGTGAGGGAACAAAGTATTTGATCCCCTGCTGATTTTGTACTTTTTCCCACTGACAAAGAAATGATCAGTCTATAATTTTAATGGTAGGTTTATTTGAACAGTGAGAGACAGAATAACAACAAAAACATCTAGAAAAACACATGTCAAAAATGTTATAAATTGATTTGCATTTTAATGAGGGAAATAAGTATTTGACCCCTCTGCAAAACATGACTTAGTACTTGGTGGCAAAACCCTTGTTGGCAATCACAGAGGTCAAACGTTTCTTGTAGTTGGCCACCAGGTTTGCACAGATCTCAGGAGGGAATTTGTCCCACTCCTCTTTGCAGATCTTCTCCAAGTCATTAAGGTTTCGAGGCTAACGTTTGGTAACTCGAACCTTCAGCTCCCTCCACAGATTTTCTATGGGATTAAGGTCTGGAGACTGGCTAGGCCACTCCAGGACCTTAATGTGCTTCTTCTTGAGCCACTCCTTTGTTGCCTTGGACGTGTGTTTTGGGTCATTGTCATGCTGGAATACCCATCCACGACCCATTTTCAATGCCCTGGCTGAGGGAAGGAGGTTCTCACCCAAGATTTGACGGTACATGGCCCTGTCCATCGTCCCTTTCATGCGGTGAAGTTGTCCTGTCCCCTTAGCAGAAAAACACCCCCAAAGCATAATGTTTCCACCTCCATGTTTGACGGTGGGGATGGTGTACTTGGGATCATAGGCAGCATTCCTCCTCCTCCAAACACGGCGAGTTGAGTTGATGCCAAAGAGCTCCATTTTGGTCTCATCTGACCACAACATTTTCACCCAGTTGTCCTCTGAATCATTCAGATGTTCATTGGCAAACTTCAGACGGGCATGTATATGTGCTTTCTTGAGCAGGGGGACCTTGCGGGAGCTCAGTCCTTCATGGCGTAGTATGTTACCAATTGTTTTCTTGGTGATTATGGTCCCAGCTGCCTTGAGATCATTGACAAGATCCTCCCGTGTAGTTCTGGGATGATTCCTCACTGTTCTCATGATCATTCCAACTCCACGAGGTGAGATCTTGCATGGAGCCCCAGGCCGAGGGAGATTGACAGTTCTTCTGTGTTTCTTCGATTTGCGAATAATCGCACCAACTGTTGTCACCTTCTCACCAAGCTGCTTGGCAATGGTCTTGTAGCCCATTCCAGCCTTGTGTAGGTCTACAATCTTGTCCCTGACATCCTTGGAGAGCTCTTTCGTCTTGGCCATGGTGGAGAGTTTGGAATCTGATTCATTGATTGCTTCTGTGGACAGGTGTCTTTTATACAGGTAATGAGCTGAGATTAGGAGCACACTCTTAAAGGGAGTGCTCCTAATCTCAGCTTGTTACCTGTATAAAAGACACCTGGAAGCCAGAAATTTTTCTAATTGAGAGGGGGTCAAATACTTATTTCCCTCATTAAAATGCAAATCAATTTATAACATTCTTGACATGCATTTTTTCTGGATTTTGTTGTTTTTAGTATGTCTCTCACTGTTCAAATAAACCTACCATTAAAATTATGACTGATAATTTCTTTGTCAGTGGGCAAACGTACAAAATCAGCAGGGGATCAAATACATTTTTCCCTCACTGTACACCCCTCACACCCCCTACTCACCTACACCCCTCACACCCCCTACACCCCCTCACACCCCCTACTCACCTACACCCCTCACACCCTCTACTCACCTACACCCCTCACACCCTGGACTCACCTACACCTCTTGTACCCAAGCCACACGTATGCCACAGGCTACTCATGATAGCTCAATGTTGTGACAGGAGCAAGATTCAACACGAAAGGCCCGTAATGGTCACCAAGTAAAGCATCTCTAAGCCGGACTTAGATTAAGGAGTGCAGTGCACTCACCACTGCGCCACCACTCCACCCCTACAACAACAGATGATGACAATGATGATGGGCTGACTGGGAGCCACCACTCACTCATAATAAGAGGAGTTGCATTGGAATTCGGGAACATCTCATCGAGGAGTTGTGTTGCTCATCTCCTTATTGTGATGTGTTATCGTGTCTCTGCCGACTGCGGTGCGCAGGCTGCCACTGCATCACCGACATCAACTCTTCTCTGCTCATGCGGGAAGTGGCCTGCGCCGCCAGGCTCTAGAGAAGAGGGTGGCATTGCTCCGTGTGGCTTCACGCTGCCGATGGCCACAGCCTCTATGGTTCTTAACGCCACGGCACTCCGCGTTCTCTCACGTGCTCCTCTTCAGGCCAATCTCTCCAGCTCACGTATTCTCTGGTCGCCAGCCACAGTCTGTGGCCGCCGTCTGTGGATTTAGGTGGTAGGTGCAACGGAGTCCACCTCGGTTTTTTCAGTTCCGGGTGCCGTCTACGTGCACAACCCTGGACACAGTGTGCCCTGTTACAGACTCTTGTAACTGGTCATGGCATCTGAAAATGTTATCATTTTACCGGTTATCGTTTAACTTCCTTCTTACGCACGGTGGTTGTCCATTCAAGTACTATGCAGTTTCAAATCCACTTAGCTTCCATGATCTGACGAGATTGGGCACGTTCCAGGTGATTTGGTCATCTTTGTACCTGGGTGCGTGATCTGGCATTTGGCTGCATACAGGGAGACTAATTTATAATTGGAACACGGCGTGGTAATGAGCCAGTGTTGGGTGCCCACCTGACCAGTTCACCTGATAATTCACTGTCATTGCATTCTAGGTACTCAATCCACCATTATCACCTGCGACTAGAAAACCTGAGGTGGAGTTTGTAGCCTCCTCAACCCGGAGTAACGAGCTAACACTGCTCATTGCTCACTCTTATACCACTCACTCACCCGCTATATCATTCGCCCTTTTACCTCCAATCACTTTCCTACCATTCACTCCTACAACCAACCACTGGTCACTGATTTCTCACTCTTGCACCACTTACCACTTTCGGCACTACTCACTCTCCCAGCAGCACTCTCTCTCCATACCACTCACTGTCCACACCACTCACTCTCCACACCACTCTCTGTCCACCACTCACTCTCCACACCACTCTCTGTCCACACCACTCACTGTCCACACCACTCACTCTCCACACCACTCACTCTCCACCACTCACTGTCCACCACTCACTCTCCACCACTCACTCTCCATCACTCACTCTCCACACCACTCCCTCTCCACACCACTCTCTGTCCACACCACTCACGCTCCACACCACTTTCCAAACCACTCCCTCTCCACACCACTCCTCCACACCACTCACGCTCCACACCACTCACTCTCCACACCACTCACTCTCCACACCACTCACTCTCCACACCACTCACTCTCCACACCACTCACTCTCCACACCACTCACTGTCCACACCCTTAACTCTCCACACCACTCACTCTCCACCACTCACTGCCCACCACTCACTCTCCACCACTCACTCTCCATCACTCACTCTCCACACCACTCCCTCTCCACACCACTCTCCACTCCACTCTCCACACCACTCTCCACACCACTCACTCTCCACACCACTCACTCTCCACACCACTCTCCACACTACTCTCCACACCACTCACTCTCCCACCACCACACCACTCTCTACACCACTCACTCTCCACACCACTCACTCTCCACACCACTCTCCACACCACTCACGCTCCACACCATTCACTCTCCACACCACTCACGCTCCACACAATTCACTCTCCACACCACTCTCCACACCACTCACTCTCCACACCACTCATGCTCCACAGCATTCACTCTCCACACCACTCTCCACACCACTCACTCTCCACACCACTCTCCACACCACTCACTCTCCCACCACCACACCACTCTCCACACCACTCTCCACACCACTCTGTCCACCACTCATCGCTCAACTCTTCGTGCCACTCCCACCGATGGCTGCTTGCTCTCCCGCCCCTCGTCCACCACCGGCGCTCTGCCATGACCACCACCACCACATTCACAATGTGACAATATTGTAGATTAATTTTGTCCCAGTTTTTTATGATCTAAAATTAGATTTTGTAATTTATCGTTGTGTTGAATTTCAATTTCCGTGAAGCGCTGAATGAAATTGAATATGCACATTGTATAAAGTCGATTACAGGGCTGTATTGATTAGTGTATTGTAATACATTTCAGGCGATTGTCTAATTGCATTGATTTTGAAGGCCATATTTTGTGTGTGTGTGGAGAGGGAAAGCACAATACCTCAGGACAATTTGGTCTGCCCCATGACCTGTCAGCCAACCTTCACCACTCCAAGTGGCCTCAAGTGCACCTAGCCTGGCACAATCTCTGTGATGACGTTACTTCCATTGACATGTATATGTGGATGAGTGGTGGCTGTTGCTACTTGTGTCGGAAGTGGTGGCCTGACGGTCGTGGATTGTACAATGATACCACAAGCACGAGGGGCTACTCAGGCAGCACATGCACTCGGCCTTGTAATCTATCAACGTGCGAGCCATTTGATCGTACATCTCCACGCCGGTGATTACCACAGGACGGCACGTAATCACAAGTATGAAATTCGCCCACTGGTAGAGCTGAGAATGGGAAAGTAAAGAATTGTGAAGACTCACGTGATCATATCAACACCCATTGCCCAGTACAGAAAGAGAAGCTTTAGAAACACCTGCAGTGACATGCAATGGAAATTCCTTTGCCAAATTTAGCTTAAGGTTCCTACGTAAGACAGAAAATACCGCATTTTTAAGCAATCAAATTATTTTAATGACGTTAGAAATTGCTTCATTGTGTTATTGGAAAAAGTAAGAAATATGCAAAATAATATTGAGAAAAAATATTGTGACTCGTCCTGCGAGAGGAGGAAACTTCACCGGCAGTACACAGGAAGAGCCGACCAGGGCCGGCGTTCTACAGGGTGGCGTAGCATCAGTGCGTGGCACCGTCGCCAGCCGTGTGCGGTTGACACCACCACCACCGCCACCTCGTCACCCGAGCCACGTTCCGCCGCATCGCAGTGACTTTGCTGACCCGTGCCGGTTGGTGAAGGCTGGGAGCGTGGACGCACGGTACAACAATGGATCTAGCTGCGTTGCCCTCCTACTGCCCGTTACATTGCACGGAAACCGTCTGACAATCTTTGTTGGGCACTGTTGGTCAAATCCAAACACCATCCAGGCTCAAACCTGCTTAGCTTCGGATATCTGGAGCGATCGATCGGGTTACAGGTGATTTGGTCATTATGGGGCGGTGGCCCTGCAGTGACGTGTTCACCGCTCCTTGATGCAGAGGTTCGAGTCCAGCAGCCGTGCTGATTAATACTGCGGTTGTGGGCTAACCATAGAAATGTGTGCCGTCATTAGCCTTGTCCAAATTTGAAAAAAATTACCCGCAAACCATTCAATTATAATATTCATATTAATCATCGTCTCCTACCTCGACATGTTGCAGGACCCTCCTGAATGACAAGACTCACCGAGGTCTCTCTGGGTAAACAAGGGGTTCAAACGTCACTTCTAGTTGACCTCGTTACCCAGCGGTTTGCTTGGAGTTGCCTGCGGTGAAAGTTGCCTGCGGTGAAAGTTGTCTGCTTGAGTTGCGTGCCTCGTGGGGCTGGGTGCGGTAGAGTTGAAGTGGGTGACCCGGGCAGCACGAATCGTCGGCTATCGCGCTGCGTGTTTACGCTTGACGCAAGGACCCGAGATACTTTTAATGATGATGGAACTTGCAGTTTTGAAACCTCGACTCTTATCGGTTAAGGAAGCCTTAGCGACTTGTGTCTGTGTGCGCGTCTTTATGTGCACATTGGTGTGCGAGTCTTCGCAAACAGCACTTGCCCCGACAGTTTGTTCAGGCTATAAAAAAGGGAGTCTTTGAGGGGGAGTGGTGGTGCGCAGATTCACCCACTGTGTTACAAGTTCGATTCCTAACTACGACTATAACATCAGTTGTGATTGAACAAAAATACCCGGAAACTATTCAGTTCGGTGGCTGAGCGTGGTGCTGACCACGCCACCCCCTTGTGCACCGTTCCAGCCTGAAGAGGTGTTCGCTAACAGCACTACAGGGGGATCATCGTCTGTGTATAATCGAACGCATTAGCACATCAAAGGGTGTGTACTGTGTGTAAAATTTTATCTCGTCTGTGATCAAATTTGCCCTGAACGCGCCCAACCTCGTCACATCGGCAGCTAAGCAGGTTTGAACCTTGTTCGTGCTTGGATGGGTGACCGCCATGCACACCAGGTTGTTATATGCGACGAGCCTACTGTGGTGGTCATCAGAGAAGAATGCAGCAACATTCACTGTTGTACCATACTTGTGTGCTCACGCGTATGTGCTGCTCACAGCCTTCATCAACCCGCACGGACCAGCGTGTGGTCATGGTGGTGGTGGTGAAATATGGTTAAACAACCCCGCACGTGTTGTGTTTGCCGGACTCATGGGCGCGTTCGTGATGAGACCCTGAATGTCAAAACCAGGTCGTGTTGTCGAACTAAATGCTGCTGAAATGATGCCCTCCCAAAGGGCTCTGTGGCTGACGGCATGTGTAAAAATTATTTAATTATTATTTTGAGGGACAGATATGGGAAGGAGTCTGAGTGCGTATTTATTTTGACTTGGTTGTAAGATCGGAGCGTTCTCCCTCAGACCAAGTTGAGTGCTGGCAGATATTTGCGCCTGAATATTTAATTGATCGGCCCCATGCCTTTAGGGCAAATGGCACGCAAAACATCATTAATTGTGCTTAATCATCACCACCGCCATCATCGTCATCATCATCACCGCCATCATCATCACCATAGCTTATTTCGGAGTTCCACAATCATCAACATTACCAACCACGTGATTAATAGTCATAATCATCGCAATAGTCAACATCACCATCTAGATTTGAAGCTTTCGTGACTGCAAGAATTCATACTCTTTGGTTCTATTCGGTTAAGTCACGTAGGTAAAAAACAAATTAAAAATAAAATAAAAGAAACAATTAAAACACGACGTTTCGGAGGCAACGCAAGCTTCCTTCATCAGGTGGGACCAGTCACAGCCAAAATCACTTCACCAAGTGGTGCACTCTGCTGACCACCACTTGGTTGGGTGTTGTGCGTGGTCGTCACCCAGCACGTGATTTGGTCAAATGCTCCTCAATATGTACGAATAAAATATGACATTCCAGTATTTGCTGCTGCTGCCGCTACATTGGCAGCGGTGCACAAGCATAACAACAACAAGTCAACAAAATCGTCAACACCGCGGTCTTAAAAGGAAAAATATATAATAGGCGACGTTTCGGGCAATGGCTGTGCTTCATACCACTTTGAATAAATTACGTGTAGTTAGTTCGAAATAAGTGGCGTTGCATTGTGAGGGCCGACGTCCACCCCACCGCCCTCGCCGGGCAGGTGGGGCACGACGTCCGCCCCCTCCACTCCCTCCTCCTCCATTCCCTCCTTTTTTTCACTCCCTCCTCCATTCATTCCTCCTCCATTCCCTTTTCCTCCACTCCCTCCTCCACTCCCTCCTCCTCCATTCCCTCCTCCTCCACTCCCTCCTCCTCCACTCTCTCCTCCTCCACTCCCTCCTCCTCCACTCCCTCCTCCACTCCCTCCTCCACTCCCTCCTCCACTCCCTCCTCCATTCCCTCCTTTTTTTCACTCCCTCCTCCATTCATTCCTCCTCCATTCCCTTCTCCTCCACTCCCTCCTCCATTCCCTCCTCCTCCACTCCCTCCTCCTCCACTCTCTCCTCCTCCACTCCCTCCTCCTCCACTCTCTCCTCCTCCATTCCCTCCTCCATTCCCTCCTCCTCCACTCCCTCCTCCTCCACTCCCTCCTCCATTCCCTTCTCCACTCCCCCCTCCACTCCCTCCTCCTCCACTCCCTCCTCCTCCACAACGTCGATCGGCTCCCGCCGGGCCCCCGCCGACCGGGTGATCGCCCCCACCCCCCCGTGCTGGCGCTCTCTCTGAGGGGCGGGGCTGCGGCGCTGGCTCACCGCCACACGGGGTTGCTCCGCACACGCCCGCGTACACCGCCACTCACACGAAGGCGGCTGCGTGCCTCCCACACTCAAATGACCAACACCACACCGACGCTGCAGCCCTGCGCCCGCTCTCCTTCGCACACCGTCTGCTCCCCGCGCAGTCGCACTACACACACATCACAGACACCACGCTGACGTTCTACCCACACACACATAAATCACACTGCACCGATACTCTGTACTGAAGTTTATTAACGGCGCAAATACATGCTACCTGGGGGGGAATATTTTGCGAGAAGAGCTTAGCCTAGCTCTGCCTACGAACCCAGTCGCTCAAACGTCCTACCACGTAGGCCTCGGCAAGGTAAGGTAAAAACAACGAGCCTACCTTTAGCCTACCTTTTACCCTTTAGCAGGTAAGGTAAAAGGTAAAAACAACGAGTCTACCTTTACCCTACCTTTTACCCTTACCACAATACAATCACTCTACCCTACCTTTTACCCTTTAGCAGGTAAGGTAAAAGGTAAAAAGCAACGAGCCTACCTTTACCCTACCTTTTACCCTTACCCCATACAAATTACCCGATTACAGGGTAATTACTGGGGTAGTACTACACATGAAAAAGGTTTATAACGGTAAATGCTAGGTAGAGCGATTAATTAATATAGAATACTCTCGATGATTCCAATTGTACATGCTTGTTGTCGTTGTATCCTAAAATCTTGTAACTCAATTTTAAACCACTTCCCAATGTGGTATCGACTGCAAACTTGGTATACTTACGTCACACTGATGACAATACTATATTCTATCATAAAGAAATAACTATTTTTAAACATTATTTTTTATATGTTATGTTTTGGCTTAGGTCTAATTGTCCATGGTAAACTGCCGTTGGCTGTAATTGGTCACGGCCCCTTACGTTATGGCAAATTTCGGGGCCACTTCCTGGAGTTGTGGAGTTCTGCCATTACTCGTACATTAAGTGGAAGCCACGGACTGCGCCACGGACTGCGCCACGGAGCTTTTAGCAGTAAACAAGGTACCGTATTTACCGGGTAATACTTCGTGCTATCTTTACCCTACCGGGTAATTCTTCCGAGCTACCTTTACCCTACCCTTTACCTTACCCCTTGGCATGTCGACACCTTTACCCTTTTACCCGGTAAATAGGGTAAATTACCTTACCTTGCCGAGGCCTACTACCACGTACCTCGAAGCTGTACTCACGGCGTCCCACGGACAGTGAGAGTCGGAGGGAGAAGGACGAGAGAAAACTTTACCTATCGCTGCCTTGTAGCAGCACTCTCTGGCATCACATGGATGCTGCGAGCGGCTCGAGGAAGCAGGATGGCAGGGAGTGGATCTTGACGGCCCAGAGGTTGAAGACCAGAGCCCAAAATTGTCTCGGGCTACTCTTTTCATTCCCTTAACTTCAAAGGCCCGGGGTGCCATTGTACCGCGCGGCCAATCGTGCGCTTACCTGCGGTTACCCCCCCTGTTACCGCGTCCTCCCTCGAGTGCTGCGCGGCGGCCACCCATCGTCCCTCATTGCCCATTGTCTGGAAGGGCCCTGGCACTTTTCTTGCTTAATATTCCGCCCTCCGTCCTCCCCCCAATGTCGTGAGTAACTCATTGCGGTTGGCCCAGGGATTTTTTTTCTTTCTGCGCCCATACGATTTCAAACCAATTTTAGGGCATCGCAGTATAACCTGCCCTATGGGAGTCGGCCAATCTCCTGGCACCGGGTGACTGTGGGACTTTCCCTCTAGGGGCCCTTCGGATTAAAACCCGATGTGCCAGGCTATCCCCCGCCAGGACACTACGTGGGTGCAAGTGCTGAGTGTGTGCGTGTGCTCAGGGTGGGGGGTAGTGGACAACCGCTGTGCTTGCGGAGTTACTCCGCGGCCGTGGCACCACAGCATCTCCGACTGGTTGACAGACGCAATGGCGCAGCGCGGCGTTGTTCCGTGTTTCTCAAGACGTGAACATTGCTCCCTGGTCATTGTACAAGCACAGAACTTTTTTACACATTTTAACAGCAACAAACATTTTTTTACAAGCAAGCATTCCAGCCAGTGTCGCGCTTTGTATAAACACTGAGAGGAGCGCGTTTTTTTCCCCTACGGAATTTGGCCGACAAAGCGATTCCAAGCCATGCGGCGTCGCTCAGTTTAACGGAGCGAACAGCGAACGGGAAGATGCGTCGCTTTCTACCGTTGTTGATATTCTCCACACACCGCTAACGATGATTACGTAGTGTTCTGTGTTGAGATGTTATTTAAAAAAAAAGTGGTCAAAAAGTGTATTCACGGTTACATCTCGGCATGCGAATGGAGTTACTGTCGTTGCCACTGGACAGCAGCTGAGGGGTGCTGCATCCCGTGCTGAGCAGAGCTGGGGGCACGGCATTCTGCCTGTCCGGAGCAGAACGCGTGGGCTGTGTGCGTGCGTGTAAAAATGCACGCGTGTACGTGGTTGTGCACATGTATGGGGATCGGTAGTGTAGCGGTTAGCACGCTGCGCTACGAACCCAGCGACCTGAGTTCGATTTCCGTTCACGGCCAACACCATTGACGATTATTTGAACCGATCTTGGGCCTCCCCTTGGTCGACTCAGCCTCAAATGAGTACCTGGTGGGATGTGTAAACATCGCCAATAGGGAGATAGGCGGCCAAACGGGGTTCTGGCTACCTACCCCTGCGTGTGCCGTCTCGGCCTTCATCGGTGCTCGCAAACAGCACTTGCCCTAACAGTGTGTGAATGTGTGTGGGCAGTTGGAGGCGGTCGCCCTCCAACAACAACAGCGGAGGGTAGAGGAGCGACGCTCACAACGAGCGGAGCGCCGAATGCTAAAATGAAGTTGGCACAGTAGGGGGCACAGGTGATGCACCTGCCCGTCATCTCAGTTAACCCATGGTACCTGGGTCTTTGCCTTGACTGCCTGCCAGCGAGCTTTCGACACTTCACGTGACCTCAGAGTGCACCTGGCCTGGCACAAGCCCTGTGGTGATGTCCTGCCACTTGCTTACACACGCACCAGGTACACTGCAAAACTTGAAAAATAAACAAATTTAAATGCTTTTAATGAGCAGCTAAATAATGTGGATATACTCATCCCAGCCATATGAATGGGATTTTCAAAGGCTGTGAATAGAAGATGAGCATCGCTACAATGCTCACTGGAGCAGGAAAGCACTTTTAACTTTTACATTTGAACTAAATAAACAACTTTAAACACTTTCAAAAAGCAGCTTTAAACACTTTCCGTAAACATGTTATACTGCCAATAAATTACTTTAAATTATTTCAGTTACCTTTATACACTCGCAGTAAACAACTTTAAATACTTTCAATAAACAGTTTCAACCGACGTCCGGCATGTATCAACAGAGCGTAGCTCTTGGGAGTGTGACTCCTCGTGATGAGCCCAGGTCCAGCGCTCACAAGACCCAAACTGGGCGTGGGCAGGCAATTCGCATCCTTCCATATCTGTCCCTCCGCTTTAAAATATATATTTTGACACATCCCAGCCGCCACACGGCCCTTCCTTTCTGGGAGCGCATAATTTCATCAGCATTGGTTCAACAAAATCAAAACCCTGGACCGGTTTAGACATTCAGTGTCTCATCAGAAGAGTCAATTCGAGTGGCTTCGCGGCATTGAGCAGACGTAAAACTCCCACTTAAAATGTGGGTGTCGAGGTCGCTTGCTAGGGTATGGCAGTACAGCAAGTGGGTTAATTTCCATCAATGTGGATTAGGTGTTACCCCCTTGCACATGTAGGCTTTCTCCGAATATTCCACTTTACTCCCACATATATAACATGCTCATTCCTGGAGTTGGCCCAAAGGTCCCAACATAGGACCACAGAGCTTGGGCAATTATTGGCACCTATTCTGGCTGACCTTTAGCTTTTTTCTGTGCTTCCCTGCGCCTCTGGATCGTTATCTCTTTCTGTGAATGAACATCCGTTCATTCACAGAAATCATGTGTGCCTCGTGTAATTCTGTTGTGGATGCCCATGATCGATGTGCAATTCCTTCTGGTGGCATTGGGCAATCGGATGACTCCTCGTGTTCGCTAAGGCACTTGATACAAGCTGACATTGGTGGATTATGCCAATCAATATCCGGAGACAATTCCGCTTGTTTTGTTCGTATTCATCCAGATCTCGATAGAAAAATAAACAAAACAATGCATTATAGCCCCGGAAGTAGACCAACTCTCAAATGAAGTGGAGGGAGCTCAGGATGTCACAATTGAAAAGGTCGACATTGTCCTGGGCAGTATAGAAAGGGGGGAAGCTGCCCTACCAGATGCGTTACCTGTGGACATCATCAGAGACGCGGGACCAACTGCTGGAATAAAACCAGAGGACTTGTCCAGAAAATGTTTGTGCAAAATGATGCCGCAATCATTCCGTGTCTTTGTCTTGTGCAGTGGTCCACGAGGCTGCTGTTCCTGGCTATGCTGCACGATATCGATTCCCAGCCGCGGCTAACATCAGTGGCGTTTGGCATCTGAACCTGCCTTGGATCTGCCTTTGGTCGACTCAGCTTTTAGGTGAGTCTTTGGCACGGTGTATGTACATTAGCACTGTGGAGAAAAAGGTGCTGTCGGGCGTGCGTTGTACTCAGCCACGCCAATCCCTCGTGTGCCGTTAAAAGGTGCTCGCTAACTATATTTACCCTGACGATCTATAAGGCTAAACGGAATAACCATGTCTTTGTGTGTCTGTGTGTGTTCTTAAATGCGGAATGCTGATGTTTGCGTTTTCGCTACATAATAAAGCCGAATGTCTTGTTGTGCACGCGTGCGTCTATGTGGACATGACACAGATCCCGTAGAAATCCGCGGAAGCCCTGAAAACTCATCAAGGCACAGAAACGCAACCCCTCCGTTGCTGCCATTATCACTGTCTGGAGAAGTTCTAGAGACCATCCTTACATCTCCATCGCTTCCTTCTTTCTGCCAGATCGAGCAATTGTTGCACATGCCAATTGATAAAACAGCCAAATGCTCACCTGTCCGGGTGTGACCCGGACAGGTGAGCATCTGTGTTGGCGTGGCAGAAATGTACTTGTACCGAGACCTGGTACCAGTCGTGTGTAGAACATTATTTAAGTTTATTTAACAGTGTTAATAGACCTAGGTTGAGAAACACGTCCTGGTTTGAGCTGTTGAAAAGTTGACGATCCTAGGAGGGGACCATGAAAGGAAATCCATTTCTACGAATGCCAGACGGACCAAATTCAACTTCTAATCATCCTTAAGGATGCTGAATGAGCAGCATAATTGACCCCATCTCGACAACAGCGTCGTTGTCCCCACTATGTAACCTGTCCATCACTCGATGTAAGAAGCCATCTATTGAGGCAATGGTCCTTCATCAGAGCAAAGGAACGAGCCACTCCAAACTCCCAGTCGCCTAATATCCTTTCACTTTCACGGCACGGGATGGGTCAATACTGTGTCCACGCTGTCTACGCTCGAAGCTTGCAGGGCCATTCCCCTCAACGTTAACTCTGAAATCATTCTCTTTGGTTTTTTCGGTAAAGTCACGTAGGTAAAATTAAATTAAAAGAAAACAACTAAATTAAATCACGACGTTTCGGAGGCAACACAAGCTTCCGTCTTCAGGTGGAACAGACACAGCAAAGATTGCTGTATCAAGAAATTATTCGCAGAACCTTTGCCCGTCCAGTCCAGGGTCACAGGGGCATCTGACCGCACGCGCTGGACAGTGCGAGATGTTGATAGGTACGGGGTACGGTGGCGTGGATTATCGACTGTCAATGAACACCATCAAGCTGTGAAACTCCACCGTGACCACAACCGTTTCACCACGCGGCCGGCTACGGGCAGCAGCACCCCACAAGCGCCCTGAGTCACCACGTGGCAGGGCAGTGGAGGGCGAGCCGAACCAAGAAGCTACCAGTCACAAATGCTTTGCAGTTGTATTAAAATTACGATAATTATAATATAACTACGGTTTAGAAATAAAATAACGCCGTTCGTCGGACGGTCTGATATACCCTTGAGTGCAGATGAATAGATGTCCAGAGTGTTGATTGACACAAGATAGCAAACACGAACTGTACTTGACATAGCTCCTGTAGTTTCACTCCACCGTCGTAGATTCTGTATCCACGAGTGACAAACAATACTCGACGGGAAGAAGAAATTGTGACCACACATCGTAACAATGTAGTCGTGTAGCAGTGAACCACGACATCCATAGCAGCATCCTCTTTGCTGTACTGCCCACCTGCTAATCACCTCGCCATCTACTCAAGCACACTACACAGCAATCTCTACGTGATCCGCCAACCCTGTTTGGCTCGAGCCTGCTGCGGGTTATGCACTAAATGATAGAAAACAATTGCGCTCAATGTCCGGTGCAAGGCCAAGGAATGTGGAACTTCCGCGCATTTCTCCTCCTGGCCATGATTCACCAACAGCAGCTGCGCCGAGAACGCCGCGCTGGCGATGGGTCGGGCGCTCTTTGTTTTAAGCCGCGCCGGGCGCTCTGGGACGACGTGGAACTGCTGACGAAACACTCCTTAAGCTGCACTCTCTATTGCTGCACTCTCTATTGCTGCACTCTCTATTCTCGCCCCCACTCCTCGCCTCTCTCCGTTCTCCCTGATGAGCAAAACACCCTCTACCCACCCGCTCAGTCGCACGCCTCGAAAATATTTCTGCATGGATAAATAAATAAATATGCAACTATATATACGTACTTCGTGGGTATGTACATTAGTACTTTGTGGGTATGTACTATAGTACTTCGTGGGTATGTAGACGACCAGGTGGATCGTCTGAATCGACCTACGGGAATCCCAGGCCCGCCGTGAAGATTGGGAATCGAACTCGAGTCGCCGCTCTCAAAGATCCCCCATATAATATTAACAAACTGTTGGGGAAAGTGCCATTAGCGAGTACCTATGAAGGCCGGAACGGTACACGAGGGGGTGGGTGGCCAGGACCACGTCCGTCTGACCGCCTTTGTCCACGGGCGGTGTTATGTACATGTACATATCGCACTGGGTACTCATTTGGTGTTATGTACATATTGCACTGGGTACTCATTCGGTGTTATGTACATATCCCACTGGGTACTCATTTGGTGTTATGTACATATCGCACTGGGTACTCATTTGGGGTTATGTACATATTGCACTGGGTACTCATTTGGGGTTATGTACATATCGCACTGGGTACTCATTTGGTGTTATGTACATATCGCACTGGGTACTCATTTGGTGTTATGTACATATCGCACTGGGTACTCATTTGGTGACTGCTAGGATCCATACTCTTTGGTTCTATTGGGTAAAGTCACGTAGGTGAAAATAAAATAACAAAAAATCACGACGTTTCGGCCACAACACAAGCGGCCTTCATCAGGTGAAGGGACGAGACTGTCTGGAGGACAGCGCTGGAGTGGAAGAAGCCACGCTTAGATCACGACCTTTAAGCTGTGTGAGAAGAAAAGACCACGCGCCTTGACAAAGGAATTAGCATATAATTTAGCATTGAAATGGCTTACCCTGGGTTAACTCGGCATCACAAAGTACCCTGTGTGTTGGACAGGCAACGTGGGTCCTGGCGGCCTTCCGATATCGTCACAAAATAGCAGATATTCCCTGTGTCTTTCTAAGTCTCTGTGTCTATGTATCTGTGTCTAGAAGTGTCTCTGTGCCTTTCTATGTCTCTCATGTATCTCTCTGTCTGTCTATTTCTGTCTCTCTATGTTTCTAACTCTGTTTCTCGTGCTGCGTGGGTTGCGCAGCTGCTGTGAGTTTGTAGCCCCGCGCTGTGTACATTGGCCGTGTGTGTGTGCACGTGTGCGTGTGCGGGTGTGTGTGCGCGGGTGTGTGTGTGTGGTTGCGCGTGTGCGTGTGTGTGCACGAGTGTGTGGGCTATAGCTGATGGTGTGTGCACTGGCTATAGCCCGACACGATGCACGAGGGGGTGGGTGGCCAACACCACGCCCGGCCGCCTTTGTCTCTCTAGTGCTGATGGTGTGTGCACTGTCATGAATATGTCCTGATGTATGTGTGGTCGTACGTACGTGTGTGTTGCTGACAACATCGCCTCATGATGCGCCGTCCCGGCTTTAACAGGTTCGCCCTATCAGCATTCTCGCCAACAGCCTGCACAGCCGATACGGGGCATAGAGAATTGTCGCCATTGCACGGCTTACAAAGATAATGGGACCCCTCCCCCCGTATAGCCTTAACAGACTGTTGGAGCAAGTGCTGTTCGCGAGCACCTATGAAGGCCGGCATGGCACACGAGGGGGTGGGTGGCCAGCACCACGTCCGGGGGAAGACCACGTCCGGGGAAGACCCAAAACTGGTGTTGGTCGTGAGCGGGAATCGAACTCGGGTGGCCGGGTTTGCAGCACCCCGCGCTAACACCACCATTCCCCGAGGTACACACACGCACACGCGCGTGCACATTTGTGCTCAGCAGCATCACGCTGCCACTGGTCTTGTGTCGATTGAACATCCTATCCGGGTAAAAACAAATATATATCGTTTGTTTATTGTCTCGTACCCGAAACGTAACATTTGCAAATGTAAAGTGTTGAAATTGTAAACCCATTGATTATTCGCGCACCGATTCAGCGAGTGTGTCTTGAGCAGTAGTCGATTTTAATCGGTGGAAGTTTACACGACGAGAAAATGTTAAAGATTGTTATGACTGCCGATGTAATTGAAACGCATGGTGGATGAAAATGATTATGTTGGAGCTTCCTCCGTGTATTAACGTGTACGGTGAGTGACGCTCCCTAACGTTACATGTATGTTACATGTATGTCGGTGAGCGCTATGACCCCCACTCCACCCCCACAACTCGTATGCCCCCCCCCCCATACAGCCAACACCCCCGCACCTCCTCAAGCTCGCGGGAGTCGGAGCCGAATTCCTCTCGCTCTGAATGCAGCAGCAACAGCCACTGCCTCATCAGCACAATCTCGGCCCCCCATCCCACCCCACGGAGCCCCCCTCCCCCAACTGCCCTCTCCCCTCCACCAAGGAACCCACGCTGCGTGCATCCAAAACGCTTTTATCGCGCTCGTAATTCGCCACAGACGCGGGGTTGGCACAGGCTCACGCACGCACCACGAAAACAGGCGTATACACACGCACGCACACGCACACAGCGTGAACACTTCACACGACAGCAGCACGTTTGCACAATGAGGGGGATCACACAGGGGACTCGCTGCATGGCCTGGAGTGGACGGATTGGCGCTTCTGGCGAGCACCTATGAAGGCACTCGCGCGATACGACGGTATCAATGTATGCCCCAACAGAAATCGTATCGTTCGTTGTACAATACAACAAAAGTGTGGAATTGTTTATAATAGAGGTTGTTTTGGATTAGATCGCGTAAATATGTCGTTAAACCCGCCACCACCCTACACAGCAAATCCGTAAGGGTTGTCACGTAAACAAAACATGCCAATTCGTTACTAGTTCAGCAACAAAGGTGTTTTGGAGAGTAAACCCACACGGTTTCCAAAACGCTTTTGGATATGGAAATCTTGGCATGTTTTCTTTACGTAACAAATATTACTAATTAGCCCACAAACCTCTATTACAGATGTTGGTCGCGAAAGCCGACGTTCAAATGAGGCGGAGTGGTGTTCCCCACTGCGACGTGGGTGGTTATTCTGAGCGGCGTACTTGACGTCTATGTCTTAGCTGACAGCATGCGATTCGCGTTATTAGTTGCATAGAGATGATTGCAGATCACCGAGCTGCAGTGATGAGAATAATCACGGTACGATTACGTTGAGTGAACTGCAATTCGGACAGTAAACTGGAGTTTAAGAGCACAATAAAACAAAAGATACTGATATCGCGATAACCATCATATCGTGTCAACGAATATCGTATAGTATCGTGAAACACGATGTCGCGTCGATTGTTATGGAACAATCCGCTCCCCTTCAACACGCCACGAGCTATGACGGTGTAGTTGCGGAGCGACAAGAGGAGACGTCAGGGCAGAGCCAGAATCCGAGTTCGATTCCCACTCATGGCCACTATCAGTGGTGTCAATATCCCACCGCCGGAGAGAGAAAGGCGGTCGGGCGTGTCGCTAACCGTATCACACAGTCATGTGCCGTGTTGGCCCTCACCATGGGTGCTCGTTATCAGCACTTGCACCAACAATCTGTTTAGAATATAGGAGGGAATTTAATATTTGGTTTTTGAGAGAGCTTGAGTATCAGAGGGCGCGTTTCAAAGAGTTTGCGTTGGGTTTATAGAGCAGCAGGAGTGATCCGGAATATCTCTAATGAGGGAGAAGTCGGAGCGCATGGATGAGATGAGAGATGAGTTGGTGGTGGTGGTCAGTGTGGTTGTTGCGGATTCCAGTCATGACACAATGCGCCCTCCTGCTCTGGCTTCCATCACGCCCTAAAACATTCACACACCAATTGTTGTTGGCTGTCTCCTTGCAATAGTTCCTCCGCGTCCTCGCCCGGGTTGATGCATTATGGATGGCAGCTCGCACTCACAGGTGTGTTGTGTACTTCACAGGTGTGGGTTGTATCTCACAGGTGTGGGTTGTATCTCACTGGCAAGTCTGCACCTGCATTACTGGAAATTGGGATCGTTAAACAGTTTTTTTTTGCATCTCAAAATGTCGATCAGGTTCAATGCAGAAACACTTCCTGCCCGGGACTTCGTTGCACACCGAGGCGTTCCTTCTCAACGGCAGTCACATGTGAAATTAAATTAAAAAAAGACGCGAAACTCTTGCAGATGGACGCCTGATACACGAGTCTGGAACTTGCTTGATGAGCAAAATAATAAATTTAATCGCCGAGTACAGGGACGGATTAAAGTGCTGGGAGGCCACGCCTCAAGTGGCACCGAGGCAATCGTAGAATGAGGCTGTAGTTGACGGCGAGTCTAAGGTATGCCGAGACACTTCCATGCTTAAACAAGGGCCAGAGGTGTTGTGGCTGCTTGAGGCCGTGACAAGGTTGAGGAACATCGAGTAAACGGGAAAGAGGCGGATTGTCAATTGCCGATTTTTATATTGTGACTTACTTAGAGCTGCACTGTAACAACGCAGAGGTGGTGGTGCAGACTGCAAGCGTGGTGCTTAAAGGACATTCAGACCGTAACGAGGGGAAGGCCTGACGCCAGGAAGCACTCTCGTACAAAAAAATATTTGGAAGCTGCTTGTTGCCTGTGAAAGTTACGATATCTCTCAAAACCTGGTTGGGATTTGACTCAGCCCATCATCTCTCCGGGGTCAATAAAATATCACATTTTGTGGTAAAGTCGTCAGTGTTGTCATTTGGATAGACTCGTCCCCCACTATTGGAATGAGGATATTCACCACTGGCTCATCTGAGCAGCAAATCACTGCCCATTGTAAACGTACTCCACCATAGGAGCCAACCGCGTGCAGAGGGCCAGCAGAGCGCTCTCAGCATCCAGGGCTCTCCTGAGAGCGCAAGCGAGAAGACCAGATGGATGCATCGAGTGAGCAGATCCAGATGAGCCAAATGAACTTCATTCTTCATTTTGTATATTCAGTTAGCATATACATATTGCGTGTATATATTGCTGAAAAAACAAATGGAATGCATTTTTGTCACTGTGCCAAGTCCTCATCTCATCAGTCCGTCTCCCATACAGCTATTCATTTACAACTCGTTGTCAAGCCACATTTTCTGATCACAGGTTCAAACGTGCAAACCGTCAAAGTTGTGACAGATAGGAGTTGACGCGTTTCATGAATCGCGCAAGGTTACTAAGGCATCGGGAAAATAGACGAAGTGGGAGGAAACTCCAATTGAAAGAGTGAGAGAGGAGAAGTAACCCATATTTCACTAGGCTGGTGAGTGCGGGTTTGTTCAGACATAATTGATAGTAGCATTGGTCAGGAATTGAACTGGGGTTTATCCGGATCATCACGGTGTGCTATCACGGCGCAAATCGCTTCTCACTCCAATGTCTCGTTGCTCACCATTGTTTCAGTCTGCACGACTGTCAGTGCAATGTGCAAGGATAACCGGCTTGGTCCGGTGGCACAGGCGATAACGTCAGCGGCTCGTAAAATAAAGTTTGAAAAGTTTAAATTGTGGCGGGGGAGGGAGGGGGGGTGACTCGGCTCATCATCGCCCCGCGGTCGATACAACAGAGAGCACTGAGTGGGGAGGTCAACAGTGGTTTTCCTATGGGTAGATGCGTCACCGCCATAAGAACGTGGAATTTTTACCACGAGCTAAATTATGTAAACAGTAGATACGCACGGCCCCAATGTTCGTTTGGGCTGGACACCCCATCACTGTTCACTTGAGCTGGACATCCCTTTACATGTTCAAGGATGGTTGAGCGGAAGGATCCACGGTGCTTAAGTTGACGTCATGGTGCTTGCAAGAATTGACTTGAAGAAAATATGAGGAGCAATGTTGGGAAGGTTGAGATGGCTTTGGTTTACAAATTCTGCAATTGGCAAACACTACTCAGTTGAGAATAAATATTTATCAAAACCATATTTTCTGAATTACATACTTTCCCCCCAATGAACTCTGCGACCTTCGATTAGCACGGTTGTATACGTACGGTGCGAAAGAAGCCCAACGTACATACATAGAACAGTGCTGATTTTGTTTTATGTTTTAGTCCATCACTGAAGTCCCCCACTGGTTGTTAGGAACTGACCTGGATCGAGAACTGGACGAGCTTCTGCCCGCTCTGTGGTCACTTGCCCAGCAGTGGGCGCTCTCACGCCGCGAGATGTTGGTGCCGTCACTAATCGCGGTGACTGTCGGACGTGGCGGTGCCCTCCCTCCCTCGTGTGCCGTACCGGCTTTTGTAGGTGCTCGCTAACAGCACTTGCCCCAACAATTTGGTGGTGTGCGCACATCTGTAACCGGCAGCTGCCGCTGTGGTTCTCATGGTTTGCACGCTGGCTTTGCAATCCAGAGGTCACCGGTCCAATGTCATCTTCTGACGCAGCAGTTGAAACATTGGGATTGAGTCTGGCATTGTCAAGCGTATTGAGTTGATTGTGTTTTCAGCCTGGTCACCAGTGATTAAACATAAAAAAACCCGTAGCATTCATAAGGGTATTCATTCAGCATATTTAGACTCTGAGGAGGACATATTTCCATTTAATTGACATTTGACAAACACGCTTTGCAGGACGTATCAAAGTTGTGTCTGCTGTGTCCGTGGTTTCTAACCTGTCCTCTGCTCAGCAAGATGCCGACTCCACCTGTTTTGTGGGGATGGTGATCGGTCATCCAGGGCTCATCCCTGCTTAGCTTCTGAGGTTTTACGAGATGAGCAATGTCCCGAGGGATTTGGTCATCGGCAATTACAAAATCGGTGTGATAAACGTCCCGGTCCAGATCGCACTGCTGCTTCACTCGGTTCGGCCCTGTCGTGCGTGCGTGTCACACAATGACATACAAATACGCCACTGCCATAATTTTAGTGGAAATAATATGTGCAATTTTCCGAGGCCTCAAAATTCTCTACACGTGAGAACAATTTATAAAATCACTCCGAGTCCCACCCAGGATTAAAAACAGACATGGGAGGCGCTGGCACGGTGCCCCGACACGAACATCACCGCATTAACCCACCACCCCCCCTCGCACCGCCGCGTAACCTCATTACCCCCATCGAACGATGCCAATGGCTGGACCGCCCTGAATTTCCCGGAGTGTGGCCGACCTCGTCAAACAGGCCTTGCGCCTGCCCTGTGCTCGGATGAGAGATCACCTGGGATAGCCAGGTGTTGTACGCATGGGTTGTGATGTAGCCATAAGATGACAGTGCAGAAATTGATTATTAAATCCATCCACATTGCACATTATGATCCATATTCCACAATATGCTCTGCACTCTACTCCATACCCACGACACTCCACACTCCACTCAGCTACAGTTTAGCCGGGCGGTGGGCGTCAAGGTGCCATGCCCTGACTCATCAGGAGA